CCATCTCTAGTACCTGCTGATCTGCGTATTGGTTTCAACCCCCTGCAATAAGGTTGCTCACAGGCGACCAACATAAGAGCAGTCTCCTTGACCAATTTTATGTTGGCCAGGCCCACCAATACATTTTTCCTTTGTTCTAATGTATCAGTGGGCCTGACCAATAAAAAATTGGTCAATGAGACTGATTGTATATCAATTGCCTCCAGGCAGCCTTATTGTGGGGGGTTGCAACCAATACAACCCCTTTTGCAGTGCTGGCTGGTGCAACACTCCTCTCCAAGAAAGAAACCCCTCATTGGAATAGCAATAGCAACCCCCAAGTGCTCTGCAATCTAGAATTTGACAAGCAAACCAGATGATGATGTTCAAAATTGTTCTTCTAGATTTTTCATTCAACTTAGGAGTTGAATCCTCCTGATAATATTCCTGGGGGATGTTTTAACCCACACCCTACCTCAAATTCCCAAAATTTAGCAAAGGGTTTTTGCCATCTTTCAAATTTGAATTTTGAGGCAGACACACCTCTTCTAGATTGTTGCATCAAAGATAGATATTTCCAACAAGAAGTTACTGCAAAGAGGTGAAAAATTCATCATAATATTCTCAATCCACTGAGATTCTTCAGAGGAGAGGAACAAAAGGAAGTGTCTGGTTCAAGAGCAACCCACTATTCAGCTTCTTTGAGACTTTGAGTATAGGTTAACTTACAGGCAGATATTGATTTTGGGATGTTTGATTAAAGTGTATATAATGATCAGGAAGAATTCGTTATCACCAAGCCAGCATTTCCAGGGTCGTGCCCATGTACTCCATGGATCCAGGGCATAAATCATTACTGCCCCAACTGTTTTGCCCCCTCTTTCCCCTGTCACTCTCAAACTTCTGTCTCTCACTCACAGCAACTGAAGCCCTGACCAACATCCCCTGGGGCCTATCGGAAACCATGTCTATTCCTGTTTAACCCTGGTATCATCAGTTCAGAAGTTCAAGCTTTATAGTTTTCTCCCGGAATGAGGTTCCATATCGCCTTGGTAGATCGATTGAGGCTTTGAATTCGTACTTGTGAACCCGGGCAATGAGTTGCAGGACACGTGGGAGGATGAAGACCATGGAAGCTTGTGAAACCAACACAACACTCGCCGAACATCTGCCCCCAGTCGCCTCGCCAAGACGTTTATGGGAGACGCGTCTGTGTAAACACCTGCTTCCTATCTTCATACCACACCACTATTTAATACTTCGTCGCTCCTTCACAGCTACGCGAATCTCCGAGGTATTTAACGAACAACTCAGCAATCTTGCGCCGTGATCCGGAAAACAAGCACCTATATATAGACTGGACAAATGAACCCGACTTCTCCTGTAACCAGTGGAGAGTACGATTTTCCTTCGGATCAACAGCCACTCAGCGATGGAAAACCTTGGAGTCAACGGTCGTGGTCGTATCAATTCATGCCATGCAGAGGGATCTATTTTGATTTGAAGCGTAGAATCCCGTTGTATTCCTGTGAGGAATTCTTCTCCTTCTCCTATTCTCTCTTTATATGAGAGTTGTTCTGCATTTTTTTATCTCTTCATTTTCTACCCAGTCACATGTATACCAATATATAGGAAGCTTGTTTCTAAACATCATTCGGTTTTGATATTCACTCTAAATTATCTCCATATTTCTCTTCCTCTTCTTGGCCTCGGTGATCACTCATTGTCAAATTTTCTGCTTGGAATCTTTTCCCCTCAAAAAAAATCCAAAAAATGCAAACGATAAAGCTGATTGGTGTTTCAAGTCAGCCTGATTTCCTTGTGTGTATCTGGGAGGTGAAAACTGACGAACGAACCATGATGATCTCCCCAACACGTCCACACCAAAAAAACCGACGCCAATGAAGCTTCAAGGCCAACAAATTAATCCAAGTGTTTTCGGCAACGTTGAGGATGTACTTTATCAATCTGTGAGTTGGGGGTCTGAATCTTTCGCATATTCAAAAATTTGTGTGTCTAAGCTAAACGTGGTTGGTTCTTCTCATCATCTGCTTCTATCTAGAATGCCTGCGATTGCATACTTGATTGACATGAACGATCGCACGGGTGGAATTTATGGTATCAACGAAGGTACGCCTATCTTCATGTTTTCCATTAAAGAAAAAAATCGACTATGCAGCTTCAATTCAAACTGACTGCTCTTCCCGACCTCTGCTTGATTTTATCTCTTCCTAATAGCTGTACTAGGTGCGCCCTACTTATTCCTGCAATGCCGAAGGCCGCACTCAATCATCCTGACCGCCCATTTTTTCGCATACATAGCTAGCGCTCTGGCGGCCCTCGTCTTTTCACTTTTCAGTGCTCAACCGCTGACTATCGTTGGAGTGACTGGATTGATCAACTTGTTCAATTATACTGACTACGTGCGTAATTTTCACCGATGCTGCGTCGTGTATTACGGAAAGTTGGCCGAATTCGCTCTCAATCGAATCGCTTGCTTTTGGTTTGCTAGGATATTGTCAAGGATCATGGGATCAATTACTTGCAATTTCAAGCTTGGATGTTGATGTGAGTTGACTTTTTTTTTTTGACCATATTCTACTCCTATGACATTTCACCCACTTATGCCGAGCCCTTTCTCTTTGTCAAACAACAGATGGGCCGCCATATTCCATTTTCTGATGGCGATCTTCAACTTATGTGATTTCACGCGGTTCATAACCGACATGACATCCGAAACATTCGGTTTCTATGTCGGTGTGATCTATATCCAAAAAGGGATCGAACTACTTACTCGAGAATTCAGTCACTCCGCTACTGACGGTTGGCTAAGTGTTGTTGTGGCAATCTCGTTCGCATTGACTGTATACTGGGTCGAGAAAATTCGCAATCGCGGTTAGTTTTCATTTGTTGAAGCGCATTCGCATCTTCCATGTTTCTTTTTGGTGGCTCTCTCATATGAATCTATTCTTCTCAAACAGGTTTTGGGCCATTATGGGCGAGAAGGATTTTAGCCGATTATGCATTTGTTATTGCGACAGTATTTTTCACTGGATTTGTGCACATGTGACTAATGCTTTGTATTTCTATCTAGACAGTCGTGCGTTGTGAAGCTGATTTCAATTGCTTTCTATTGTAGACCAGGATATCTGAAATCGGCAGACTTGGTCAAGTTACCAATTACCCAATCTTGGAAACCAACAATCAATCGTGATTGGGTTGTAGACTTCTGGAACTTGGAAGCTAGATGGGTCTTCATAGCCTTGCCATTCGGATTTCTGTTAACCCTGCTGTTTGTAAGTTTACCCATTTCCCACAGACCAATTTGACCGGCGTCGTTTGTAATGACATAATTCGGGTGTTCTCTCCTTTCCAGTATTTTGATCACAATGTCTCTTCCTTGATGGCACAAGCCCGACATTTTCCCGTGGAAAAGCCAGCTGGATTTCATTGGGATTTTTTCCTCTTGGGAGTCACCACGTTCATCTCCGGTATTCTAGGACTCCCAGCACCGAATGGCCTTGTTCCTCAAGCGCCTGTTCATACTGAAAGTCTTTCGGTGCTGCAGCATGTCAGCTCTGATGTTCCGGATCGTGATGGAGTTGTGCATCCTGATCTAGTTAAACACGATCAAGAACGACGAAGAAGAATCAAGGATAGTGGGGAAACTGGTGGCTCCGTGGATAATCAATTACCGGCGTGTAAAATCGTCAGAACCGAAGTCGCCGAGCAACGACTGAGTCATCTGGGGATTGGGCTTCTCACTCTTGGTACTATGACCCGCCCCTTATTAGTCGCACTGTGAGTATCTTTCAGTTTTTCTACATGGTTCATCAGTACTGAGTAGACCCCTGTAACGGCAATCCACGTCTTTTCCATAGAGGGACGATGCCCCGCGCCTTATTTGCAGGAATATTCATTGGAGTAGGGTGGAGCTCGATAGAAGACAATGGGATCATTGGTAAAACGCTATACTTGATCCGAGATCCAGAAATGACGCCGCCAAACCATCCCCTAAACGCATTACGAAAAATCACGATCTTGAAATTCATCGGAATTCAATGGTTCACATTCGCCATTATGGTTGCGATTTCTCAAACGATTGCAGCCATAGGCTTTCCGCTCGTGATCATTGCTCTGATTCCATTCCGATACTACTACGGGCCCCGTTGGTTCACCCCTGCTGAACTGAGCTTGCTTGATTCTCCTACCGCCAATGCTCTTGGGGTCATGGTCAGTATCGGTGGCGATCTGTCCCGAGTGACTGGGGAAGGCCTCGAGGTGGCCCCTGATACAGGCTTCTTGGGCTCTCTTGGTCTCAATGACAAGCTCAATCCAGCTAGTCAAAGTGATGCTGACCTGGATAGGAGGAAAACCGAATAATTGCGCGGTTCTTTCCTTCATCTAATAATTGCGCGGTTCTTTCCTTCATCTAATAATTGCGCGGTTCTTTCCTTCATCTGTTGTGATCTGTTTTTTTCTCGCTCTTCGTCGACTCGTTTATTTTACCCAACCTCTTTTTTTACATCAATTATCTGATTTAGAATGAATAAGCTGCCACATATGTCAGTCGTAAATCAAGCTCCCAACATGGGACAAATTTGTAGGGTTTCAACTTGCAGCACTGACTGGCTTTGTAGTTTTGAAGTTTTGAAGTTTTGAAGTGTGAAGGTTAATAGTTTGATGTTCTGGTAGTTTCATGCAAATCCGTTCTAATGTGAAATCCTGATAAATATAAATTGATGTTATCGAAAACTTCCGGCTGACGCTCCGGTAAGCTGATGTGCATATTTCCTTCGCAGCCGTATAAATGAATACAAGTTTCAATTTACTTGACTGCAAGAATGGTTGATTTTCTGTGCTCCGCAATTTTCAAACTCCAATTGGCTCCACATTCCAGAACTGCTGTCAACCTCACTCTGGCTGGACGGCAGATATATCCATGTGTATCATTTTCACCCACAATCAACGAGTTTCAACTGAGATCAGGAGTCAGCTGCCTCGAATGTGAGGACACCCTTATGCAGATTGGTGGTTTCATGGAGGTGAAGCATCATCAAATAACTCTTGCTGGGACTGCCATGGGCGACTCTTACTGGACCGCCATGGAAGCTCGCAGTATCTATCAGGATGCAGCGCTATTGCATCGAGAGAGGTAAAATAATCTGTTCCATCACTTCATCTATTTTGCTCCGGCTACGCACTTGGGTAGACATTTTTCTGTCCTCTCAAAGTGATATCATGACTCATCCCTGCTGGGTTATTAAGATGATTATTCTCAGTCTGAGTCTGTTGAATAGTAGCCTCGCCGGTCCTCCCCGTCCCGCTTCTACATCCAAGTTCAAAGTGTCACAATTCTCCAAAGGACAGCACTCAGGACTCAAGAGGCCGTGCTCTATACAAACAGGTGAGTCAACTGACACTGTTCTTCCCCACGGCTGGCCAAATTGTAGTATACTCCTCATCTCTCTTTCACCAAGGCAGACTGACTCATTTCCCCTGATGCCTTCCCTTTTCTCCCCTTCTGAATAAGATGAAAGTGAAACCCAACTGATAAGGTGCGCCAAGAGACCCAAGCTGTACAGCAAAGAAGATATCAACTCAATTACGCCTATTCCTTCCAGTTCCAACTTCAACAATGAGCGCACAAAAGACAGAATTTTGGAATTTAAACCAGAGGGAACTCGTCTGATACACTACGCTTGGATTTCAACACTCCACTATCCGGAGGCTCCAGCTGAATCAGCTAAGGTTGCCCAAAAAATATTTTACCGCGCCTGGAAGGAGATTAATCCGGATAAAACTCTGCGGCAAATCATCAAGCAAATGTTCGCTTCAGATGATAATTTCATCACACAAATCTCAAGAATTTACTTGGTGGAACCAGAACAGACCACTCATAGGATAACTGCTTTATTCAAAGGTATATGTTCTTTCAATTTTGCGTTTGCGATGAATTTTGAGGACATAGATAATAATATAATCCACAAGGAGCAAGGGAGAATTTTTCGACACTTCATAGAATTCCTACATGATTTAAATAAAATTTGCCCTTCAGACATCACAACACCCAATAATTTGCCCACCTGTTCTAGACTCATAATTGAATATTTAATAAGTGGGGAAAAGGATTGTCTAGAATTAGATTTGAAGTCTTCAGAGACTTCAGATCAAGAGGGTTGGATGGTGCAGCTTTGTAAACACGGCTCATTTCATCTTGTATCAACCACACAAGCTATGAAGACTCAATTTCTGATACATTTCTTAGGGCAATACTACAAATCATCAAATGCCAAAAAATGGGATTCCCTTTTTGAGGAGGACCTAGTTTTTGTCAAACTGTTTGCCCGTCTGAGGAAAAAAGAATTTAGGGGTCGACTATCAAAGCACTACCAAGAAAGTTCCAAGAAGTGGATTGCAGGTGGCTTTGGGAGTATCTTACCATGGATAGGTGGGTTTCAATTCAAATATGATATTACAGCCAAAAAGAAAAAGTTTAAATTGCCAGCCAGCCTATCAAGGATGGATATAAATCAATTTATCAAAAAGGAACCAATTATATATTTGAACATTGATCTGAACAAAGATGTACCATCAAAAATTGGGGGTTTGTCTGGAGATTCTTTATTCACACTTTCATAATTTCAAAGCTAGTTCCAAGGCTGATGATTTCTTCATGCTATACCTCATTGAAATCTCCTTCACAAAACCTATGTGATTCAATTGTTCTGGAAGTATTGGGCAATGAATCAGATGATTTTGGTGATGATTTGGACCAATATTCTTGGATTGGTTGTTCAACATATCCATCAAAAAAATTCATGACAGATGGATTTGGGCAGTCATTGTTTTTGGAAGTCAGAGCATATTCCAGCTATATCAATCTTTCCAAAAACATTATTTCAAGAAATAGTTCCTACAAAGATGAATTTCCCCAGAATATAACTAATAATAACATTACAATTGATTACTTGGATGGATTGATAAAACAAATAATAAGGATGAATTATTCCTTCTTCTTCATGATAAGCCAACATGAAAACATTCCAGTTTTTCTCAAAGAGCAACATGCCACAATGGACTGGTTTTTTGAACAAGTGGAAAATGTCCTCAAATTTGAATCATTTCTCAAGTATGACAAATCAGAGGAAGAAATTTTAGCAAGACTTGAAGGAAAAACCACTCTTCAGAAGTTGATATTGAAATATATTATATTAACACAAAATCCTTTGATGGAAACAAATCAACCAATTCATCTTGGAAAACTCAAAACCCCACATCAAGAGACAAATGGAATTTTGAATAACATTAATTCACTTGAAGGTTTTTGCACAAAACTTGTTATTCAAATCATTGGAAGCTACTACAAGCAGCACAATTATACAAAATGGAGAGAACTATTTGAAACTGATTCAGAATTTGTCAAGTTATTTATCACATTCAAAAGAATGAAATCTAGGGGAAATCAGGCTAGGATGATCAAGACAAACCAAAAATATTGGAAATCCTTGGTTATTTTTCCATGGGAAAATGAACTGCCTGTGTATGAACTGGAAGTCAAAGAGGCTCATAAATTTGGATTGATAGCAGTATCTCTGAGAAAAGCATCACATCCAATGACTAAAAATGATTTACTTTCTTAATTCATTCCTTTTGATACTTGTATGAATTGTTTGATCCCATTGCTTTGTCAGTCCCTGTTGAGGACATTTCACCATGGAAAGTGTTTTCAAATCTTTTCTTGTTTGTAATGATTGATATATCTGCAATGTTCCTTGGAGTGGGCAAGGCTTCACAGCAGCCATGTTGGGTGTTGAGCCTGAGGTAGTTCCTCAGCGCGCTTAAACTCCCATTGCTGCTTAAGGTTGTATGATTTGGAATTTGATCAAAACTGAACGTTTCAAAATTTTGTTTTGTTGAATATGGCATTGGCAGGATGTTTGAGGACTTGACACAACATTAGATGCAGAAAATGAAACAAATCCAACTGAGGTTATAATTGAAGTTTGGAAAACCAAAGACCTATGCAGTCTCATGGTAATTTGAGGGCAATGATTTACTCCCAGCCCAACTGGAGAATCCAAGCCCCACTATTTTTTTTTCTCGACATGCAAATGTTGCCTTAGACTTGGAAGGGCATGTATGCCATTTTTTGCCCATGAACAATTGAGTCATTTTACTGAGGGGTTGAATGCGCGCCAGGGCGAGCTAGCCGTTGCCCATATCCTCCTGGAAAGCAGTTTCCAAACAAAAAGATTCACATTATGCTAGTGTTTTAACAGTTATAGTATGTTTTGCTTATTGGAAGACTTTCCATAGCCCCTCCGCCCAGAGCTCTCCACACAGATGCTTCTGAACCAAATCTTGCAGGCATGGGACGACTTTGCCACCGTGTTCTGGCCTGCAAAATGTTCGAATCGATCGCCATTCGTCGATTGCTCAGTTTGCTCATTCCGTCATATTGGAGAGACTTCCCATCGATTCTGATTGGTTTATCTTTCTCTAACTTTCAAGCTCGGATCTGAAGCTTCTTTCTCCGCTGTTGTCATGCAGCACATGTAGATGTTTCAGGTTTGGGATCATACTTCTAGATCAGCAAAGTTTTACCAACTGGTATCGAGAGAATGAAGGCAGTCAAACTTCTCTTTCTCGCCATTCTATTGATATTATAAACTCAATGGATGCCTAGGCAGATTCGGGTCTAATCATATCGGTAGCAATCCGAAACAAGTTGAGGCTCTAGTGAGAGGGCCACTCACGCCAAACCACCGGATCGTGGATTTATCTCATAGACCTCGCTAATCCAGGAGGGCGATGTGAATCCTACCTTGTAAGCGTATTACTGCTAGATAAATGACGTCTGTTAGTTCAACTTGTAGTTGGCGCGGCCAATGCCAAAAAGTTGTGATTGACATCGCGCACACAAGTGCAATATCATGAAGATACAAAAAAAGCGCAAACGAGGTTTTTGTTTGATTCGTTTCTTAGTGGTACGTGCATATGCTTCGTACATTTACATATACAAGATACGTAAAAAAGAAAGACAAGCAAAACAATTCTACTTCAAGCAGACCAAAACGAAGAAAAGAGGGAAAAAGGGAATATCTAGCAACGACTTAAGCGGGTGGTGTTTCTCATAGAGAATCTGCGAAATAGTAGGAATCAGGAGAGAGATCCGGAATGGTATAGACAGAGAGGAAAAGTACCAAGTAGGTGAGAGATGCAGAAAACAGACCAGTGTTGGGAATCAGAGCCTGCTGGAGGTTGATGAGGGAAATAACAAGAGGAATGTGAAGTACAGAGAAACAAATCAACAAAATGACAGAGCAAAAGAAATACATCCGAAAACCCAAAAATTGTAACGAAATTGCGAGCGAAGGAGCGGTGATATCGACCAGAGCAGTGGGGAGTTCTTTAGATGAAGGTCCACTACATCCGATTATAATTATCAGCTTTTGACGAAAACATTTTGCCAAAAGATCAGGGAGAAAAGAGAGGTGCTTACAGTCATACCGTGAAGTCGTCCTTCATCCTTGCTGCCAAGCTTTTCAAAAGCCGTGATTGTGAAATCCAGGTCATCATGCTTACAGCCTTCACACCGATCAACAACAGTAACCTCGCAGGATTTACCCTTATAGGTAGCACGAATCCTCTTACCACACACCCTGTGTTGTGAAGATAGAGGTTCAGTTGAAATGCTCACAAATGTTTGATAAAGATCAAAACTCACTGGTTGGTGTTTGGGTTTCCGCCCTGGGATGGGAACGAGTCGTACAGGAGTTTGGAGACCGCGACGATCATGTCGCTTGAGGTGTTTGTCAAACCACACGCACCCAAATCGGGCTGATAATCTGAGAGTAGCAAAAAAAGGATTCGACTGCCGTTAGCGATGTCCATTGGCCGGGTGCGAAACAAGCATACTTACAAGTGGCATCCCCGGTATGTACCTCAGCCGAGGGCGTTGAATCTGGAGAGTATAAATCATTGGAGACGGAGACGCATAAGCTGGATGTGTATAGTGGATAGTGAGGCTAGTAATACGACTTACAAGAATCTCCCTTGTGGTCTTTGTGGACCGTTCCAGTGGTGACAGAGGTACCCGGGATCGGTTGGACGTCTGTCACCGTGCCGTCTTGGGACTTCGAGGGTTGCTGGACTGCCTGCTGATCTTTGGCTTCTTCGGCACCGTTGGCTTGGTCTGCTTGTTTCTTCGCTGCCTCGGCATCCTTCTTCTTTTGCTCCTCGGCCTTCTTTTTGTCTTCCTCGGCTTTCTTCTCCTTGTTAGCCTCGGCTTCTTTTTCCTTGGCAGCTTCGGCTTCCTTTTGCTGAGCGGCCTCGGCCTCTTTTTGCTTGGCGGCCTCGTCTTCCTTCTGCTGAGCGGCCTCGGCTTCCTTTTGCTGGGCGGCCTCGGCTTCTTTTTTCTTCGAGGCTTCGGAATCTTTTGGCTTGTCGGATCCGGAGTCTTTGGGCTTCTGGGGCTTGTAATCTCCTGCGTCTTGGCTTGATGGGGACTTGACTTTGTTCTTCTCATTGGAAGCAACTAACTTTGGCGAGTTCTTAGGAGTGACATTGGAAGCGTTGGTCCCCGTGGAGCAGGAAGAATCTGAAGCATCATCCTGGGCAAAAGAATCAGGGTACGAGTCCGGGTCCTCGTCGGGCGTTGGCGCGACGAATTGTTGCCAGGCCTTGTCTGCGTCGTCTTTTTCCTGGTCGATGGAGTCGAAAGAAGGATCGTCTTGGGGCTCGTCTAGATCGGGATTGATTGAGCGCTTGAAGTTCTCCGACTCATCATCTACCAGGGAAATGGGGCCGAAGGGTAAAAATTCATCCTGCTGTTCGTCAAGTGAGCGACGATGATGCGATGAAGAGCTCAAGCTTGGTGTGGAGCGGCGGAGAAAGCGATGGTGGCTGAAAGCAGATTTCGAGACACCTGCTTGGTGCGATAAGGGCCGGGAGATGGATGGGTCAACAATAATCAAGAAGAGAGCCACCATTGAAAAGAAGGGGGTGATAGTAAGGTGGAACATGTTTAAGAGCTTGTAAATGGTTTTTGAAATGTTATGAATGTAGGGATAGAATAAATTCTAGGGAGTGGAATAGAGTCGGTTAACTCAAGTAATGATGAGGAGGCAAGACTCTGGCTGGGGCCGTAGATCAGAGGGGGATGCAATACAGGCGATTTTTTGTGTGAAGTGAAGGTGGGTAGGATGGAAAGCAACGAGTTTATGTATGTATCGGGCAAGCAATCAACCTTTCCTGAAGGTCTGGAAATGCGCGGAGGGGAGAAAAGTTCTCAGTAGACACGGAACGATTCTAAAATGCTGCTAACGAAAGATGTTTCCTGGAGGGTAGATAGCTGGCTCAATAACGAGTGGGTGTTTTAAATGCCGACAGCGAGTTGGGGAAAGGCGGAGTATGTATGGACACAAGTCTCACAAAGGGATAATTCCAGGAGACTGAGAGAGTTGAGAGTGCGACCCAAATACGGATGACAAGTAAAATATGTATTAAGATGTGATACACCCTGATACACCACAAGAAACGGGAATAGAATCGTAACAGACTGGAGCTCAACTTTCTGAGCTTGTTTGGACCTGTATTCAGACTCAGCCGTTGTGCTGAGTAGATACAATACATGCGACAAAGTGTGTATTGGAATTGCAACATTAACATAATACTGCAACTTGCTTCGTAATATGTGAATATTTCATATCAATATGTAATACATACCTATACATACTGGTAATGCTACAGAATGATAGAGAACGATCACCGCGAAGATTGTATCGTTTTAACTGGCTTAAAGCCAAGAAAAAACTCAAGCAAGAAAAAAGAAAGAGTTGTAACAGGTGACAGCGAGAGATAACGAGACGCATTATTGAGCAACTCTTGTGGTACAGATTTGACGAGAGGTTTCTGACAGGGGCAAAGGCATCAAGCCTGGTCGTATGTTGTGTCAATAATCAGATAAATTGCGTTGGATCCCATGCCATCTCGGCATCTGAAATGGGGATGAGGATATCTCGCCGGCCAGGCGGTTATGTGCATGTATGCATGTAGAACGGTGGGGAGAGTGGTCCGTTTGTTTGGGCTTTACCAGCTTTGTTGGCTTTCCTTTCGCGGCCAGATTCCTGAGGGGCCACTGGGCCATTCTCCATTGAAGTTGATCAATTAACGTACATACATATTTTAGACCAGTGGCTCGATATCCCTCCCGGGGTCGCGTAGTCCGGCCAAGTGCCCAAAGCCGGACACGTTGCACCTGACGTTCATTCTTGCCTTCTAGGCCAAACAGGCGAACCGACCCAGCTCACTGGTCTCCTTCACTCAAGCCGCACATGAAAATGCGATCTGAAGACGTAAATCCAGGCCAAGCAGAACATTGGCCAAGCAGATAACCCTCCGAGAAGCCAGCTGCTCCTGGCCAGAAGCAGTCTTGCCCAAAGGAATTTGGAAGAAGACGGAAGGGCCACCGTACCCCACCGTGCCATTTCTGAATCCATAGGGGTATTTGAACTAGAATAAATGTATGCGTACTAGCAAAACATTACCTACGACAATGTGTAATTCCATGGCAATCTAGTCGTCATTTAACCGCGCCAATTCCCCCTTCGAGTCAATAACTTTTAGCTTGCTTCTTTCTCTTGTTTCTTGGTCTTTGGCTGAGGTCTTCATAAAGGATTGTGTTGTACTTTGCTGAAGTTTCCATGGCATATGCATGAATGGGGTTAGGATATGCATATATGGGTGAAAGAAAGGAACCTCCGTCTGATGCCTTCACGGCTTGGAATTTTTCCGAAAAGGAGATAGATATCTGTGACAAGATGTAAATGATGTTGAAAGGCTCAGGCCAGGCAGCATCTACCACTCTGGTCATCAGGGTCCCGGGCCAGACCGGACGAGACCCAAGCTAGAGACATGCTTGAAATTTGAATGAATGGTGCAGTCAATTCTCAATATCCATCCATAAATTAGTGGAAGGATGGATGGACAATGGACAGTCGTCCAACGGCGCATGTTGCGCTTGCGCGGCGAGCCCGATTGATCAGGAGGCCTGAAAACAGAAATGGGCTGATAAAGGATACGATATCTTATAGTATGAATACCGACTCCATGATACATAACAATATTCCAGTTATGCTTGTAGTGTTGAATCAGAACAAAGCTTGAATCCCATTCAGGCGGTAACTGATCGTGGGCTTTGCAGTCCGACAAAGGGGAGCTAGATGACTTGAATTCGCGAGACATTCTGAAGCCAAACTGCACTGCCGGCGGGTGCTGATAGCCTGTAGACGTGACAACAATCAAAACACCTTGCAAAAGTAATTGATCCTGAGATAAAGGCCTCTCCTCGGTTACCCAACGTTTTTGGCAGATACATCCTTTGCAAGCGGAGCAGGCCAGGTTCAGTGAGACTCTCAAGCTTACAGTCTCACCACCCAGCGCAATGACAAACAGTTTTTGAAGTTTCAACATTCATGCGTCTTAAGCGAGGGCCAGGATTGTGGATATACGTGATCACAAGGGCTCTGCTAAAAAGGAACCTGTGAGTTTTTCGAGGATCATTATTGCCCGAGGTAGCAGAAATGTCCACACACCAACCATGTGTTCCTCGGACACCAGTGGCCTTGAAAGCATCAGACACATATATTTATGTCAGTATCCGGCTCCTGACACAGCCGAGATAAAGTGATCGACCCCTCCTCCCAGCACACGTATTCAATCTTGGCAGACGCCTGAAGCTGAACCAACCGCTACGAACACGAGAGTAATGGTGAGCTCGGGCGGAGTTGAGTCTTACAGCCGAGCGTCGTTTGCAAACTCTTGAAAGAGGCGTGTGGTGTTTCCAACACCTGTTCTGTTCCCTCCATTTTGGAGATGCCAAAGAAGAAACGTCTGACAAAGCGCTCAGATGACAAATAACATCTTCAGGACATCAATGATTCATCAAATGTACCAAAAATACAATCATGATTCATACCCAGGATTCCATACTTGGTTGTGATACATAGAACTTCACAACCCTTGCCAAAAGGGTTTCAGCAACATGTCGCCGGTTTGTTCTCCATTCCTTCATTTCTTGCTCATTTTCCCATATTGAAAGAGTCGTGATAGGGCCTTCTCAGCTTAGCCACCTTTTTCATATTTTACATATATGGCCGCACCCATACAGAATGAAAACCTGGATTTTTATTGATTATACAGTTGTGAAAAACTTCTCTGAAGGAATTCTCATTAACAGTTTAAGCTTAAGCAAACCGCCTGCGTCCTAAAAAAAAAAAATAACCTCCCTCCTCCTACGGGTATTGTCCCCGGATCGTATGATCTAAGCGATGCCGCCGAACAAGAATCATACGACGGGGTTTACACCTTCACAAGAGGTCTCCTTTTATACTTGTTCACGCTCTTTGTACCCATGGCACAACTTGCCATGGCCCTGATGGCCCCGATACACCCACCCATCCCCACACCTTTCCTGTTTCACCGCACAATAGAACTCTCCAAACATACCTTTTCCATCATCTTTTAAGATCCAGTTTCTCTTCACTTCTCCAATATCGGTTGATAAATCCTTCTTCGAAAACATCAATCAAAATTATCACTTCAATCTTTCCTTTTTTACCTCCTCGGCCTCCATGCACCTACTCCGAAGATTTCCCCTTTCATCCACTCCAAAGAAACTATCCTCAATCTTCTTTCCAGCCCAAGAAATAGCGGCCATACGAACCCCTGCCCTAATCTTATACTCAACACACTTGCCAATATCAGAATGAAATGCGTACCCAAACGCAGCCTGCACACCGAGAGCTTCGAAACAGATCATTCTTCTTCCACCGATTCTCTACTCAATAATGCCTTGTTCCAGATCACCTTCCGGATCCGTACATTCTTATTCACCTTTTAGACTTCCCATTACATTTACCTTTTTCACCCATAAGCATTTCTTTCCACCCATCCACAAACAACCCCCATTCCTCACCTATAAATACCACTTCTTTTGCCTCCTATTCTTATGCCAACTCAACATCATTCTCCCTCACCATGGCTTCCCCGGAGAGCTGTGAGACTCGTGTCAGTTAGACCGAGATGAACAAGCCGAGTCTGTGTGATTCAAAAAAGGGTTGATGGTTAGCTAGGAGTAATGAATCTAGACAGCGGACAACGTCACACATACGCCTCCAGGTTGTTCCATGACAGTGGAAAGTGGACCGTGGACATGAAAAATTTTGGGAATCCCGAATATCACGGGTCCAATGACAGGGTAATGATAGAAGCGCGGTGAGGGAGTGCGGTGAACGATTAAGATGATGACATGAAAGACCCAACGAAGCAAATCCATAAGCTTTTGCCATTGGGAAGTGCAGGTAGCTGATTTGCATTGCAAGATATGGAATAGGCAGGTGCCGTTATTGGTTCGAATCGGGGGAGGAGTCCTGGTCGACTTGACGATTGAATTTGGATGGTTAAAGATCCATCATCATTGGGGATAATTGGGGCGCGCACGCGTTCTTACCTACAAATTTCCATTTCCATTGCGGCTAAATTGTATTGACCTGGGTGTTGCTATGGTTAGATAGATGTCTGGAGTTGGCCAAAGAAAAAGTCAGTTGTGATCGTTGTGACTGTTTTTCAAAAGTTCAGAGCCGGCTACGCCGGCTTGTGGCCGTGAAGACAGTGCTCAAATCAATCTACTAATAAGCTGGATCCTCTACTCCTGCTCCGACCACCTCACCCACTTAGGGTGGATCGGAACTTGTTTCCTCCTTCTCTTGTATTTTGATTGCCTGCAAGGTATGTAGTGCTGTTGATAGCTTTGGGCGATCAACTCCTCCTTCCATTCCCTTCCAATTTCATCCATTGACCTTTTTTTTCTCTCTATCTGTCTACTCATAGTGCACTTTGACAGACCTCTTCTCTCCCCTTCAACTATTCAACGGGATGAACTCTTCAATCCTTGCTATATTCATGGTAAGTCTGAAGTGTGCCACCTCGACTCAATCATTTTTCAACCATGTCAATCTTTCTTGCCGCCTAGCTGACCGATTCGATCCGTTTCATTCTCAAGGGAGCGATTCTCACACAGAGGGCATTCGGAAAAAGAAAAACGATACTCTGATTGTTCTCTTCTCCAACAATCTTATTCTGTAAGCGTTGTTCTGATACTCCGCTCTTACTTTCTTTGCTAATGATTGCTTGAAATCATCACCCACAAAATAATTTTTTTTTTATTCAAGTGGAGGGGTTTTGTTTAAGTCTTAACTGTTAATTATGCATTTGTTCTATGGAATTTGATGAGATGGAATGCAGGGATCTATCATTGATGCAAAGATTATGAATTTGTCGTGATAATTTGCCCTCTTGAGCTTGAAAACGTGATTGAACATTTGTGCTACCTTAAGTGTACCAGGGCGGCGCAGCCGCCCCTAAACCCTAGTCATTGTAATATGCCTTTGTGCATAATCTGAACTTGACTGGTGGTTCTTTCTTCCTCCATCTCTGCTAGATACTTTCCAGTCTCAAATAATATTTCTTTGGATTGTTCAATGTGATATATTGTTTAAATTGATGAACAGAATGTGAAAAAAGAAGCAACACATCCACATCACATTGATGTTGAATCCAGATATCAAGTTTAAGGAAGAGCCTTTGCTAAAGAAAGCACTGTAAGTGACAAGTCTTGGAGGAAGAGCTTGGAATTTTAATTAAGAATAGATCAAGGTTGGAAATAGCCAGGATCTGTAATTTTCCCACACATGCAAGTGTGTCTGTCTAATTAAAAACACCTGGATGAAGCTATGTGGTTCTGGGATGACATATAATTATACATGATACATACAATCATTTGTGCTTCAGGATGTGACTTTGTTTTCACTCTCTGCCCGTCACTGACTGGTTGAGGCAAGACCTCTGTGGGAAATTTTCCTTGCTATTTCAGCAATAATTCTGGGTATTCCCCTTTGGCTTGGAGAGATATCTTTCCTACCCAAGTCAGTCAACTATGGGGTTCTGAGCCTGCCAGCCGGGCAAGCTACCACAGGTGGGTGGTTGGGGGGAAATTTCTTGATTTGATCCACTACTATGGGTTTCTGGTGATTGGCTTTTGGTTTTGATTGTTAGCTTCAGATGTTTATTGGCTGTGTGTGGTACTGGACCTCTAGATGTCTTTTCCTCCTGGCCTGGCCTCATCTCTTGTGGTTCTAGTTTGGCTGCACACTGCACCTCTCCTTGGGCAGGACAACCACTGCACCATAGACCTTCCCCAGGCTGAAATTCCAGTAATTATCAAGGTATTCAAGCCTGGATTTCAAGTATTAACAAATTTTATGGGAATCAGGTTGATGATATCCAAAGGAGATCTCAATATTTTCTGGAAATAGCATTCCTCCTGAAAGAAGCCCTTGAATCCTTGTCATAGACCATGTTGATTTTAATATTTATCCTGAATTTTATGATGAACAATCCAACTTGATCTTTATTCAAAAAAAAAAAATCCAATCAAGTAGTGAACAGAAGAAACTATTGCAATCTTGAAGTAAACATCTCAAATTCAGGGAATATGGATTCATCAAACCATGTATTTAGAGCTTACAAGCTTGGATTTTCACTCCCTTGAAGCCATCAAATTTTTTTAGGATGAATATTACTGTATCCTTGAACAAATTTACTTTCCTGTCATCACAAGAAAATTGAAGACACCTGATGGCATTTGACATGCAGGCTGCAGCAACTTGGATACTAGTTGGGGTTTTACTCTCATCTTACTCAGAGTTTGATTCAACTGAGCCTTGATGTACAGTCACTGTGCACTTTGCACAGTGAATTTTCAGAAGAGATAACTTTGGAATGACTTGTAGTAAGAATTTGAGTTAGGCAGCAGTAGTGTCAGCAGGTGTCCTGACTGTTTTTGTTGTCTATTTAAAATACAAATACATTTCATAAATCTATACTATAGTGTTCACAATCCCATATGTAATTTTTCACATAAAAGTTGAAACATTTCCAACAAGAGTTGGCCGGGAACTTTCAGCATTATGAAACTCAAGTTGAAAAGTCTTGTGAAAACTCCAGACTATTTCAATCTGTGAATAGTTCAACACAGATGATTAATTTTTACTCTGTAATTTATGGAATTATGAAGCTCTAATGAACACAACTTCAATGTAAACTTCAGAGCCATTTGAAAAGTAGATTAAAAAAATGAAAAAATCTCAAATCAGAATGTGAACAAACTTGTATTGGCTGGTAATTTTTTTAGGAGGGTAGCCCCAAAAATGGGTTCTTCATAATTTGGTGGTAAATTTGGGGGGACATTCCTTGCATTTATTAAGGAGCTTCATTTTGGAGAAGTGTGCCAGTTTTTATTGAGGGTATTCAAATTTGATGCACAGATGCATAAACAGAGAACGCATGGCCAACTCTTGGCTTGGACCTTCTTACATAATCCCAGCCAAAATCATTTATGATACAATTTCAATTTCTATGCACTGATTCAGTCAAGTTTGAACACCACTAGTTCAAAGTTGTGGTGATTACTTTATATAGATGAACCAGTAAGATTGATACTGATTGCCAAGGGAGAATACAGTTGTGTGTGGCAAATTAATGTACAAAACCAACTTGGCTGCATGGGGAAAGGCCGGGGGTGGGTTGGGGTACCAAACCTCCAGATGATAATATTTTTGGAGGTTTCGGACTGCGTAGATTCTGAATCCAAAGTGGCGACCAAATTGGTCCAGCCAGTTTTTTCTTTCTTTTTTTTTGGCCAGCAATCTGGACACATGCCCTCATGATGGACTTTCCCTGGCACCAAGGGAAGTCGGATCCTCCCAAAACGTCTTGACCATCCGGACTTAGAGATGTCGCTCAATACCTGGGTACCTGTAGCGGGTGCGGGTACCTGCCTCAAAAATCCAATATTTTTGACACCCGCACCTGCTAGGGCCGCCAGGGCGGGTACCCGGGTACCTGCAGGTACATGGCACATTTTTGCATAAATATAAGATTGATATTCACTAGATATATGAGTAAGAATAAAATAAAAATAAAGAAATAAAGAAAAACAAATTATTCTATCACCAATTTGAATTTTATCTTCTCTCTGATCTATCTTTAGCTTTACCCTTTTGCTTGGCCTCATTTGCCTTATTCAATGTCCATTGATGAAGACTGTACACCGTCTTTATGACTGGAGGAATTCCTCCAGTCATCAAGACTGTACACCATCTCAAAGGCCGGAGGGAACCCTCCGGCCTCAACAAAGCAACCAGATTAGTTCAGCAACACATGTAAGACACCAGCTGGTGTCCTACATGGGTTTCTGACACCTTTGTGCAGCCCAACACACCCAAAAAAGGGAGTGTGGGACCACCAATGATAAATTCAATTCTTCAGGGGAAGCATTCCCAGGGCGGGTGTAAGGCGGATACCCGGTGTGGAACTTTTCAAGCTAAAGAAAAGAGCTTAGAGGGGAAAAGAACAACTACACAAGGGAAAATGTGAGTTGAAGACTTGGATGCTCATGAAGCTGCCCTCTTGTCAAGGCTTGGGAGAGAGTTACACTAAGAATTAAAGAAAAGGTGTGGCTATTTCTGTGGGTAATCTTAGTATGAGATTTATTACTGATGTCTTGTACAAGTCACCTGTTGAGAGTGTGAAGATGTGGGGAATTATGGTAAGGATGAGGCTCTGGGGGATAATGGTTTCTGGGTTCAATCTCTTATTTTCTGGGGGAAAATCAATAATAATTACTTCTGGTAACTACTAGTAAATGATGTCTGCTAAGTAATTATCTGTTTACTTCTCTAATGCAAGCATGGGGAACAAAGTAAGTGGGTAAGATTATTCTTTATATACATGAGGGTGGTTCTGATCAGATACTAGTGGTAAGATATCAGCTGATGTAAGAAGATGGTATGAAATAAGTTGTATCTGAAAGACAATTGGTTATGAAATAAATGTGGCTGACAAATGTGTAGTGTGAAATAAACATGTTGAAAAGGAGAAAATATGAAGTAACTTCTGTTTGTGATAAAAATAATATGTAGTGCAAAAAGAAATGAGATAATCAAAGACTGAAATAAATATTCTGAGGTGAGATGAGAATTCTGTGTGGTGAAATATATATGTAGGTGATATAAGCAACGAGTAATGAGTTGAAATGAGATGTATGATGAGAATGTAGGTGATATAAGCCATGTGTATTGAGTTTGAAATGGAATGTAAGAATGAAATACTTGTAGTATGAAATAAATGTAGAATAAAATAAATGTAGAATGAAGTAATTGATGTATGAAAAGAAGTGGATGATGAGTGAGATGAGATGACAATATCTGGATGAGAAAACAGATGTATGGGATGAAACAGTATACGTAGTCTGAATAAGTGATATCTGAGATGAAATAAATAACATTTACTGAAAGATTATTATCATAGAAATAAGGTACTGAGGGAAGACTAATTTATATATTGAGATGTGTGATATGTAGTATGTGGTAGCTATGTAGTACTATATATTATGTAACCAAACTATGTGTAAAATACTATTTTTTAACCTTCTGAACTGGATACAAGATAATGAATTATGTAGCACAAGTATATCAGGTTGTAACATCATAAAAACTACTATGTATAACTATTTTGTACTATGTATGACCTTGATTGGTCTCACCACACCGGGTACCTGCCTTTTTTTACCGCAAATGTTGACACCCGCACCTGCACCTGCACCTGTTTTTACTGCAAATGTTGACACCCGCACCTGCACCCGGTACCTGTTTTCGGGTACCTGCTTTGGAAAACAGGTACCCGCAAACGGGTACCGGGTACCTGCAAACGGGTACCTGCTGACATCTCTATCCGGACATGACTTGTACAGTAATTTGCCGCGCGCAACTGTACTCCTCTTGAAATCTGGTACAGGTTATACTAATTTTACAAGACCTTTTACAACTTGCACTGTTTTGCCAAGAATACTTCTTTCTTGGTAACCCCAAATCAACCAAATTTGTGCACAAGGCTGCCAAGGAATATGATTATTACTTGACAAGTTGGTCAAACTTGCACCACCCACCCAGTGTGATGTATCACATTGAAAAAATGGTACAAAGCTGTACCAGATTCACAATTATGTACAACTCATTGAGTTGATTGATTGGACAAGCAGGTCCAGTGCAACTTCAGACCTGCCTGGTCAAGTGGTTTGGTAAATTGAACTAAGAATAGCCAGCTTTTGACTAAAGACTACAGGGATATACCAACACAACAAGCCCTAGCCCTACCATTAAGTGATTGGAACTGCCTATCTGAGCAGTTGTTAAGCAGGTCAAATCTCATTCTGGAGGACCATGCCCAGGAACCTCTGGGTCAGATTTGTTTGTGGTTACAACCCACAAAACCAATTAGCTAGCAAGGAGGATTATCCATTCAAAACGCAGTGCAAGAAATCCTGCTTGCCAAATATCATTGTTCCCCAAATGGAATGTATATTGAACTGCACCAACCACTTCCACATCTTGAACCCAATCTGCACTCTTTCAATCCTCTCCAGTCATCCAAACTCCTGCAAATATCAGACTACGACTGACTCATTCTAAAATCACAAGACCCATCCACTCTTGTCCATCAAGATTATAAAGCCACAATACTTGATCCAAAAGATCCACTAGATCTCTGCACATCTCTTCTCATCCCTGATTCAAACTTGGCAAGAAGTGCCCGGCAAAGCAATTCTTAATGTCTTCTCTTGTGATTATTACATTTGCTAATCAAATCAGTCTTTTCTACTGCACTCCTGCCTTGTCTCTTATCCTGTCTCTTCATCTCTGAAGTTGTCAGTCTGACAGTTATCTCTGAAACCGATTTGTACACTTACATAATCCTTTTCTTTTTATTTATCATTTATTTCTTGATTTCTTGATCTGAATCTGATCTTGTTTTCTTCAGCTCTGATTTTTCTCTACAAGTAACAAACTGAGTGAGGTTGATTACTTTGCAAAGCCAAAAAAGAATCACACCAGGATATATGAAAGAGTGGATAGAATCTGATCAACTTCTGCAAGCGTCCCAGATCCAACAGCAAGTCCTCCACTCACTTGATCAACCCAGGTAAGGACCGCAACACTTTGATGGACACCTTTGGCCAGAGCAGTCAGTTTCATCCACCGTCTTTGAAAGCACCTAAAGCAAACATTGAAGTTATCTTTCATGTCTATGTATGTCTAAATCAACAAACAAACAAAAAAAAGGAAATCATATTATCATTATTTATACTACTGCTATTATATATACATAAAAACACAACACTTGACACACACACACACATCAAATTGTCAAAAAAAAGCAAGTCATAATTAGGTTTTTTTCTTCTTCTTTTGTTGATAGATAGGGAAGACTGAATATCATCAGGGGATCTATCTTGAAGATGGATTCATACATTCATTCTTGAGTTCTTTAATGTATACGTATCTATATATATATGTATGAATGTATGATGTAAAAGAAAGTCTTGAGTGGTCTGAAAAAGTAAAGAATTGAGTGTTTGTCTCATTAAAATCAGTTATTTATCTCAGAGGGGAGGGGGGGAAGAATGAGAGAAGAGAGATTTCGTCTGATTCGTTTCTAATCAACAAAAAAAAAGGTTGAACCGATTGACTATACAAGACTAGACCAACCGACAGAGATTGACAAAAAAGGTTCAAAGTTCTAAGCGGGTGGGTGTGGAAGAGGAGATGAGGACGCGGCCAGTGGAGGGGTCGAGTTAGCCGCGCTGGTTGCGCCAGAAGAGAGCTGAGACTGGCCGTTAGAGATCGGAGGGTTTTGTTGAAGATGAGGAGTGGATTGGTGGGCGGCAAAGACTTGCGCGGAAGCTTGATGGCCAAAGGGAGAAGGGGCGTGTTGACTTTGCTGTTGAAAATGTTGGGCAAGGAGGAGTTGTTGGTGTTGATGGTGTATTCGATGCTCAGGCGAGCGTTGTAGCTGAAGATGTTGCTGCTGTTGAAGATATTGAGCCACCTGAATGGGCGTTAAAGAGTGGGATACCGTGTTATTGTGTAGCCCATTCGGCGTCTGTGTCGTTCCATTGGGAGTGTGATGACCAGGGGTAGATCCTGGAGCTGGTGATTGGGAATTCGGTGTTTTAGGCTGGAACCCTTGGGGCATATTCGGAAGCTGGGGCACGATCGGCGCTTGTGAGCCGACTGGTGCGGCGGAAGCCGCTTGGTTCTCCAGTAATGATTGTCTTGCTTGAAGGGAAGTGGCGGGGGGATGTGGCACAGGTGATGCAGTTCCCCGATTGCTAACGTTAATGAGGGGTGGACTGGTTGCGTAACGGGCTGGAACTTGGGCTGTCTGCCTATGTATATTAACTGCTGGTAGGCCATTATGACGAGCTTGGGCAAAGTTCACTGCTGTTGGTTGTGAGGTTACCCGGGATGGTCCGTTGCCATTTACTGATCCCGAGACCTTATTTGTAGTATTTCTCAGGGGGATTTGTGCAGCAGCCGCGACTACAGCAGCAGCTCTAGCTTGGTGAAGAAGAGATTCATGGTGCATCTGTTGCTGTCTTTTTGCCATTTCTAAAGCCGCTTGGGTCTGTCGATCTCGTTCTGCCTTCAGGGCTGACATTTCCAATGGGGTCATATAGGGCCGGAGGGTTTGCGCATGTGTTTCGTGCGCACTCAGAACGATTTGGCGCGATTGAGTGGGGGATGGCGCTGGACAGAAAGAATGTTAATGTGAGCGAAATTAGTAGCAAGCAGATTAACTCACCAGGCCTTGGGAAGCCTGTGGACCTCTTTTCTTTCACTTTGCGGGCAATTTCTTGAAGCGCATCATCGCGCGCGGTGCGTTTGTTGGGGAACAATGATGCCTGGGCCGGGCGTTTTGAAGCATTTGTACATAGTGGGTCATCAGTCAAAGTCTGTTGATTTGGTTCTGTCGAGGGGAGTTCAGCATTAGACTGAAGAGTAGGAGCGGGAACCGCTGCAGTGGAAGGATTCGGCTCATAATTTGACTTGGAAAGTGATGTCGATGTATCATGAGTTGCAGACTTCGGGGCCTGATGCAGCCGGGTCCAGCAGTCATAACAGTCGCGAGAAGTTACCGGAATGTTCATAGACTGAGAGAGACTAGCATTGAACACGTCCGCAACTATTTTCCAGTTGAACTCGTAAGTTGAAGCGATCTGTTTGAGTAGTTCTTCGTCCGATGAAACCCAATTGAGTTCGTCACTTCGTCCAAAATCCGGCGCGGGAGAGGCGGGAGGAGCAGGTATGTTGGATTCCTTGATTTCTTTAGATTTCCGACCCGAGAAAATATAGCTGGGGTGATGGCTAGAATCGGACTTGTGCTCTCCTGACTCCCGTAGATCATCGGCAGATAGTGGGCCCAGATTTCGCCACTGCATCCCTAGACAATTCTTCGAGGGTTGAAGAGTACTGACAAGCAGTGGCTTGGCTTCTAGGAAAGGCGCCACCCGGGCGATGCGACCAAGATGAGGACTAGCTTCGTCGGGGCGTTTGTCCGGACGAGAATCAAGATCACCAAATAATGGCAAGTCAGCAAAAAGTTTTTGTAACTTGACATGTTCGATAGTGTATCCGACTGGCTTGGCACGTATACCATCCAACACAAGTTTTTCCGCATCAATGAGAGTCTCATCGGGAGCCATCTCGAAGATTGGAATTCGAGAGCGTTTGATCTGCTGCAAAGTCTTACGCGAATCATGAGAGGTGTGACTAGCTTCGGGAGTGGTAGTTGCCGTCAATTTTTCAACGGTGGAGATGGCTGCTGCTTCTACTGAAATGGGTGACCGCAGAGGATGAATTGGTCGAAGGGATTCAGGTGAACCTTTGGTAGAAAGAGAGGGTGAGGCATCCCCATGGGCGACTTCTGAAGAGAGCCTGGTAAGACCGATTGGCCGCGTATTTGACGAGGGGCCGATCTGATGGGGTGGTGCAAGTGACGATGAGGCGCAGTCACCAAGATTCTCAATTCCGGCTGAATTGTGTTTTCTAGGAGAGTGTACTTTGACTTGCAGACGCTGCTTCCCAAGTGAATCGGCTTGGTGCCATTGTACGACTTGCTTAGCCAAACGATGAGCAGTAACGATTTTCCAACGTCTCTCCTGGCGAAAATCAATCTGCAGCCACGTCTGAAAAGTGAAAGGCATGAGTCATACTGTTGAGGCAACATAGCACAACTAGATCGGAAGCTGCGCACCATTTCATCGAGTAAGTGATCCCAGTGGGCCTTCTGAACAGGGGCAATCCGAGGTTTCTTTATTTGGGAATAAGCCCATGCTTTCTCGGCTTTCAATCTTTCCAACACTTCAAGCGCCCGCGCCATCTGTAGCTCGTCCACCATAGTCTATGAAGGAAAGGAAGGTCAACGTTATTTGTGTAAAATGAGCTCCTGAATGGCGCGAACTGATTCACACCTTCCAATCAGCCGTGGTTAGCACGTTATGAAGCTTGGATTTCTCGTAGGGGTTTTTGCTTTTGGTCGGCGAACCCTTGCGCAGCGCAGACTTGACTCCAATGTGTTGGGCCTTGATCCCAAGCTTTGTGATTTCAGAGCTGCCTGGACCAATCCACAGCCCTGAACGGACCGCCTGACGGCGGATATTCTTGGAAGTTGTTCCGGTTACCGCCTGAGCAGCCGACAATCGGCTGGCAAGGATTTGAACTGGTACGGACGGAAGTTGGGACACATAATCAAGGGAAGTAAAACGGCTTGCTTTATGTGATTGTGCTGAGCTATCCGAGGGTAAGGAAGATGCTCTAGTGATAGTTGACTGATTGGTTGGGCCTGGACGATTGCTAGCCGAGGGGGATTGGCGAGACACTGTGCATTTCGCCGAGGCTGAAAGGATGTTTTCCGACTCAGTTCTGCTCTTGTGAGAAGGGCCCGGCCGGGCACTGAGGACGGACTGTGGTTGAGGGATGGACAAAGATTCAGTAGACTTCTGCCGGAGAGGTCTCTGCGCGTCGACATGACCAGGATTCAAGTTTGTTGGCTCAGAATGATCGACTTGTGTGCTAACTGCGGTGAGTTCAGAATTTTTGTCAGGCTGCTGGGACTCGACTATGACATCAAGATCCATTGCGTCTGAATCCCGTCTTGCTACCTCGGCCTGGGTGTCGACCTGCTTGGCTTGCTCGGGAGGATTGTCATCCTGTAAGTGGGCGAGATCAATGTCATGAGGGGATCTAATGTGACGAAGTGTCAGACAAGGGGAGGGGGGGATGAAAGGGAGTCGGAGAGGAGAGGGGGACAAAATGGATTAATGCCAAAGTAACATCAACACTCCCTGCTTGACTGAGCATGAAAGAACTTTTGATCCTATAAAACAAAAGGCATAGCTGGAAAGTGTTTGGTGGAAAGTGCAGATAATGACATGTGGGGACGATGTATGCGCCTGTGGAGAGAGAGAGAGAGAGAAAGATGGAGAGGAGCCAAACAGTAATCAGAGACGTACTGTCGGCCCGTAGTGATCTTCTCTACAAATTCTCGTAAGCGAGCCTCTTGCTCAGAGGAGATCGGATGTTGTGTTGGGGGGGCAAGACCGCCACCAAGTTCGCCCAGTTGACGGATGCTCTGGATGGCCCAAGAGACCTCACTGAGGAGTCGATGGTAGATTTCCTGACTTTCACTTTAGTAGTTCCAATGTGAGTTTGTTATTGTTGCCATTATGTTTGTTTTGTTTGATGAGGGGAGAGAAGGAAGAGGTCAGCCAGGTTGGACTGAGAGGTCAATGCGCAGTGGGAGCAGCTGCTGCTCACGTGATCAGTTGCTGTCTGTCTTGGATCGCGCGCTCGCGTAGGTTGGTGGTTGATGTGTCCTGTGGGGTTCGAACGGGGGACGGGCGCGAGGAGGAGTACCGGGTCAGCCGAGGCGCAAGGCAGGACCCCACCAAACTCGAGAAGACGAGGCCAAGATGGAAAGGATTGGAGAGGATATGGAGGGGAAACTGACCAGTCGATCTTGTTGCATCTCGTGCTATCGAGAGAAGTCCTTCCAGATGATCAAGCCGATACTCGCCTTGTCGTTGGTCGTCTCCCCTGTTGGAGTGTGGGGTGAGCAGGAGTAGGGAGACCAAGTTTCTAAGAATCGCGAAGGCCTTGTCCAGTGTCGGTGAAATCGATCCAGCCTGGGCTTTGGGCCTGGGCCAGAGACTCGAGATGTCTGTGACTGCTCAGTGACACTCACGGGTGCCCTGTCAGAAACCCGGATGGGTTTTATCTATGTGTTTCGCACGGCGCACACACCCGCCCCCGGAAGCCCATTGCAAGCGCACGATGAACCACTCACACAGACAGAGCTCTCAAAATTTCAAGATGGAAACCTCAGTTGGAGTAGTGACTAAAAGACTGCCCAAGTTGGCTCCTGATTGTCGCCATGTGAAGCTTCCAGTCTGAAAGTATGTCAATGCGCCAAGGAAATCGATGTTTTGTGCCATCAAGGACGACTTGGGCCTTCCGGCGCAGCAAGGGGGCCTCCCTCGACAACAGTCCAGGAAATTGGCTCCACTAGACTGTCACTGCACTTGACCTCTTCGAACCACTGAGACTGTCGATGGCTTCGAAGAAAAATCAGAAAGCTCACCATCCAACATCCTCATTAGGCCCGTCTCACAAGGCCAACCCAATGGAACGATTCTGCCTCTACGAAACTCGGGGAGTAAGTCAGCTCCAAAAAAAAAGAAACAGTCTCCCTCCCAAATGGTCCAATTTACTGATCTGGTTCTTGGCTTCCCACAACCTCCACAGAGATTTTACATTGCCGGCTCAGATCAACCCGGGACCACGAATCGAATGCTGAAGATAGACAAAACTCTGGATGATGATGGCCAACTAATGATTAGTGAGTAGTCAACCCAGTCTTGTCTTTCTTTCCCCCATCTTTTTGTGCTTTTCGACTCACTTAAGCTCTCCAAAGCTCAGCCGAAGATGCCACGGTCTATACAAATGCAGAAATGAAGGCTTTGATTGAGCAACTCAGCTTGGGTAACTCAACTTCTGGCGGGCTCACCCGGCCGATCGAGCCCTTTTGGGGCATCGTCGGTGGGTCTCACATTTCTTTCGACTCGCCAGGCTGTCAAGATCATGTTTGATATTTTTTTTTGTGTGTGTGTGTGTGTGTGAGCTTGCAGGTTTTATCAAATTTACCGGTCCGTATTATTTGGTCACTATCAAGACTAGGATCCCCGTCGCGATGATTGGAGGTCATTACATATACCATAGTGAAGAAACTCAACTAACACCGATCACAGGGAAAGTGGCCAAAAATCAACAAGTCGAAGAGGCTAGGCTCATCGCCGCCTTCAAGAGTGTGGATCTAAGCAAGAACTTTTACTTCAGGTGATCTCGATCTCACCTGAGAAAGTTTTGTGGGACGAGCATCCAGCTGAATATACCTCTCTCTCGACGATTTGTTATCAGCTATTCTTACGACATAACCAACACCCTCCAATCCTATTTCATTCATACAACCTCTCACTCGGCATCTCAATCGGCCTTCCCCCCCGATTTTGCGGCCCCATCTCCGCATGACGATTCCATGGAGCTCAAAGGACTTGACCGAAGACGAGTTGCCTGGGGCTTTCATGACAAGTTTTTTTGGAATTATTACCTTTTGTCATCTGCGTTTGGGAACAGCATTAACAAAGAAGGGGGAAGTCCATGGGTCTTGCCGCTTATCTACGGTTTTGTGGATCAATCAAGTCAGAGCTTTCGTCCTCAACAAAAGCAAAATGAACCGACCAATTGATTCCTTATGCGTTTTACTCATCTTTTTTTTTTAGAATTGAATGTCTTTGGTCGCACGGTTTACGTTGCCGTCATCGCGAGGCGTTCGCGCCATTTCGCTGGTGCCCGTTTCTTGAAACGAGGTGTCAGTGAGGATGTACGTAATTACTTAACCCCATGAATTTTAAGAGTCAAAACATTAATCCGTGTCCAATTCTTCTAGGGATATGTAGCAAACGAAGTAGAAATCGAACAAATCGTCACCGATGCCATCACCACCGCTCTGCATCTCCCGGACCCTGAGAACCGAGATGACTTTGATGCTCGGAAGCCCAATCCCCGATACACCAGTTATGTCCAGTTGCGTGGTAGCATCCCTTTACTCTGGAATCAAGACACCACGATCACCAAAGCCAAACCACCAATTGAATGTAAAATGATCTTGTTTTCTTTTCGAGTGACAATCAGTAGCTTTTAACTGACCCTCTTCTCATGGCTCGTCTTCAGTTTCAATAATTGACCCCTATTTCTCCGGGGCAGCCATCCACTTCGACGACCTTTTCGCACGTTATGGCACTCCTGTGATTGTCTTGAATCTCATCAAAGAGAAAGAGCGACAGACGAGGGAATCGAAGCTTTTACCAGAGTTTAGACAATGCTTGAAATATCTCAGTCAATTCTTACCCGAGCCTTCCCATCTTGAATTTTCTTCGTTTGATATGAGTGCTGCTCAACGCTCACGCCAAGTGGATGTGATCAGCTACTTGAGCGGAGTTGCAGAAGAAGTGATCGAAAAAACCAAGTTTTTCCACAGTGGCCCTGATCCCAATTACAAGCTGTTTCAATCCGAAGAGGCGGTTTTCAACGATGATGGAGAGCCAGAAGAAAGCGGGGAAACCCAAAAGTCGGTCTATCGGCCCGCACCTTTGATTCAATGCGGAGTGTGTCGCACCAATTGTATTGATTGCATAGAGTTAGTATCCTCATCATGAACTTCAAGCAAGAGTGGACTAGTGCCAATCAATTAATTCTCTTGATGTTTTTCGCCTCTCCAGTCGGACAAATGCGGCTCAATTTGTAGTCGGGAAGGCGGCGTTGGCTCATCAGCTCCACGCACTAGGAATCATCAAGTCCAAAGTAGCGCCTTACGACTCAGACGCCGTTGACATTCTAACCAACATGTACCATGACTTAGGCGATACAATTGCGCTTCAATATGGCGGTTCTCACTTGGTCAACACTCTTCAAACCTATCGGAAGACCGGAAATCAATACAAGAGTCATGCTCGGGATACTCTTGAAGGACTGAAAAGGTTTTACGCCAACAGTTTTGCTGATGCCGATAAACAAGCCTCAATCAACCTGTTTCTGGGCATAACGGAGTCGGTTCCTTCAATAAACACGACTACAATGTCCAACAGGATCTCATCCTCGAAGCTTGATCTGGGACCTGGTTCTTCTATCATGAGTTCACTTGCGGCTTCCACAATAGGCAGTCCCGAACGTGATAGTGACAGTGAACATTTCATCCGATTTGACCCCATCAATCTTGCCAAGCGATCTTACACTCAGTGGTTCCATCCTAACCACTTAATCAAACCTCCAAAAGATCCCGAAACAATCACAAAACATCTCTCCGATGTAAGCAGGCAGCGCGGCAATGACGACTACTTCATCCGTTACTATCGCCCTTGGCTTTGGACAAGTACCGAAAATCATTTAGGAAGGAAGATGAATAGTAGTGACATGTTCATTCCCAAAGGGTAATTATGATTCTAAAACCTTGGGTGAACCCAACCTCCCAACTTGCTAGTTATCTTACTCCAGTCTGCATTCTGCTTGGTTTTAAAGATTGACGACCATGGTATACACTTCGACAAAAGCGATGGAAACAAACTTGTCACCATTCAAGAGACGAAGAGGCGTTAATGAAATCATTGAGCGACTGCCAAGGTACGTCCAAAGACTTGATCATGTTTCTTCTTTGGCTTAGAAGCCTCTTGACATTTTTTTATCTAGACACTCTGCAGAACGAACCCCGCATGGTGTCGGGGTTTCAGTTGGTGTTCGACGATGGCTCAAGACGAGATCCAACCTGACGCTGAAATCAAACATGAGCACGATCAAGGGGGTTAGTACGAGCAAAGCGCATTCGAAAGGTCAGCTGACGGGGAGCCGTGAGCCACGGATTCCAGCGATGATCACTCATGGAGAGACGGCGCTTGGTCTCAATTTCAACGACGATCAAGCTTCCTCTGCGGCTGGAGGGACTGGAAACGAGACCAAAAGACTCGCCTCAAAGTTGCTTCATCCTAATGTCGAAATAGAAGAGGCAAGGGAATACAATTCGTGCGTATTTTGTTTTATGATTCACTTTTTGGGGGGCTTGAAGCTTAGTTTTTTTTTTTTTTTTGGTTACTGATACATTTCCAACATGCTTCCAGATACTTGCATCAATTTGACAAACTCAAGCTCTACTCAACCTCAGCAAGGAACGACATCTACGAAGCCGATCTCAGGATATATGAAAAGTCGGCGGCACTATCGTCGCCAGACCCCTCTGTGGGCTATTATCCTACATCCACCATCCAAGTCGAAGAGAAGAATAGGCTGCTGTATGAGGAGGCAGTGACGGTTGCCTATATGCCTACCCTAAACTAATCCCACATCGAACCGTCTCCAAGAACAAGCAACCCCTCTCGCCCCACTCTTCGGTCAATTTGTCTCTCGTTTTTCATCGCCTGTTGTAGCAACCATCAATGTAGTTGTTTCTCCTAATTAAAGTGTAACAACAATGTATCTTGTGAATTCGTTAATGTCTACCTGAGCATTATGCAATCGACGTATTTTTAGAAGGTTCAGAGATGGCTCTGATGGAAGGGATTTCATCGTGGGATATTTGCTCAACGCTTGTGTTGACAGCTCAATGGCTATCTCTCCCAGCTCATTCGACTTGTCGCACTTGCTTCACAGATGATGGAAACGAGGTCTGATTTGAGTGGGGGGGGGGGGCTGGAATTTTATGAATTGCTGAAGAGAGCTATCAGGACAAGTCGACAGGGGCTTCCTGTGCGACTGTCTTTCTTTGCTTAGCTTGTGTCCATTTGTTTCAAGCTTGGGACGATGGCACGAAATTTCCTGGCAATGGGTTTCTGACAAAGAATGCATTGCGATAGCTAGTTTTGCAATCCTTCGCAAATTTCAGGTTGAGATCTTGTTGTAAAAGGAACTTCAAGCTGGATCGTAGGAAGGACAAGTTGAATGTGCAGCAAAGTTGTCAAAATGCACTCAAGCATTGGAGTCCGTCCGAATCGCAAACACTCTCGTGTCGGAATAGGCGTAAACAAAAATTGATGGACCCCATTGGCTTGCCGTTTTCAATCGGCTTAGCAGACTCCGATGTATTATGTAATAATTCTGTGGTCACAAACTGTCTTCATTCTGGAGCCCATTGCCCAAGGCAAGGTTCAGCGGAGTTTCGCCGCTATGACCCGTCCTCGGAGACGCGTAAGGATGTATAAGGCAAAGTGGACATGAGCGAGTGTCGAGTGAGCAAAAGGGCTCCCACATTAACCTATCCGCCAAAGCTTTCATTTCATAATTAACCGAGCGTCATGCTCGCCATTCGGCTGGGATTCATGTAATTCTTCACCCTTGCGGTTGCTGGAGCATGTTTTAGCTGGCCATGTATACCGAACTGTCGATGATGCAGTCTTCATTCACTGGCTTTACTGCAATCGATCATATCAGCTCTCCTCTTTCGGCTTTCTGACCTGTGGTGGATCTCCCAAGTTTCAGCCGGCTCTCTCTGTATTTCATTTCCAAATAGGACCCATACCCCCCTACAATCATACCTCCAAGCATCTCAGCCGATTTCATCGTCTGATTTTCTTTCCACTTTTCTGCTTTGAAAGTCACAAGCTTCTAAAGCCCAACTCTAATTTGTGTTTCTGCCGAAGCCATCACTCCCTCACATTCTTTACTACCCCTTTCTAACTTTCCATCACGACTCAGGCACAATCTCTGGCACATTGTCCCCCCCATACGGCCAAGTTTTAACCCAAAGGAAAACCGTTGTGCAAGATTCAATCTGCGAAGAAATCTGGCATCTCTTGTCTCGAGTTGATCTTGCCGTACCCAAGAAAAAAGGATGCAAGTCGAAGTTTTGGACAACACCGATAGCTCGAGCAGCTTCAATAAATCTGAAGACAATTCGAACTCAAAACCTTTATGGGTGCGTATCCATACTTCAACCCCTCAAACTTGAAATAATAGTACTGTTGAGGGTAGTAAGGAAGCTGATCTAGTTTTTTTTGAATTCACGCGCTAATTTCTGCCATCGTCGCAATCCCATCCGTCATTTTGGCTTCCTTTCAAATGGCAGAGGGCCCCAGAAACAACCGGAGACGTCACTTTCCAATCTCTACATCGGGGCAGTCTGGATCGATCATCATCAGTCACTGCTAGCCTCAAGGAGAGCACCTCAAAGGGAAAGCTGAGCATGTCAACCAACACGATTTCCGGCGCCCAAGCGGCTCAAATGATCAGCTCGGAGACATCAAATCCGCTCTCCATACAACCCCGTCCTCCACTCTCGGCATCATCCTCAAACTTGGTCAAGCGGATCGTCGAGAATCAAAATCTTCTGATCTGGCAAGCTTATGACGACTGGAGACAGAAGTTTCCTCGGCTTCAGTTCGACGATAAGGACGAAGAAATCGAGGAGAACGAGGTCGAATCTGAGGCCGAAACCGAGCCGTTTACCTCGGACTCCGCGGCCGATGAATCTTGATTTTCGATCTTCCATCTTGTAGCAACTACCTCTCGTGAATTAATCTTTTTTCTTTTTGTAACCCAACGGGTTATCTCTATTATTAAGATGGTTTGAAAACTTCTCCTCTTAGAGATATTAATTTTCCCAAGCTCTCTAAAGAGGACCTCAGTCTCACTCATTGTCACTCACATTCTTTTATCCATCTATACTTTTCAACCTAATACTTACTTCATTTTTGAAGCTCGTTCTATGCATCATTTTTACCCCAAGACAAGAACTGTCCAGTTGTTAGTTTTTGGATCTCAACATGATGCATCATCCCAAAGCTCACAACAATAAATAATTAATGCAACTGATACATTGTTTCTTTCTCACCTGCAGCATCTTGATTAATTTTTCCAACCTGCACAACATGGCTTGGATAATAATAAATTTGTAGCACCCCAGATGAGAAGTGAGCTTTTTTCCCAGTTCTATTTTGGTGTTCTTTTCCGTGATGAGCTTCCAAAAACAAAGACAAATTCATCAAGAATTTGTAAAAATGATAAATCACCTGGCTTGCTCACATACCAACTACAAGGCCATCACCTGAAGCAGAAGAGGTTGTTTTAAACCCCATTTCAAGTCTTGCACATGTGTCACCCATGTCTGGCACTGTAGTATCATTGGGGATGAACTTTCAAAGAGAATCCCACTGCAAGAAAAAGTCACACAACTGTATGCAGTTGAACTGCAATTTTTACAAAGGTGTCTATGTGATCACTGCCAGAAAAAGTTGCACAACTGAGTGCAGTTGACATGTAATACTACAAAGGCACCTTTGTAAAATCACAGTTCAACTGCACACAGTTGCACAACTTTTTCTTGCAGTGAATATCACATGTCAACTTTGAACAGTCATGTGACTTTTTCTTGCAGTGTCCACCTTTTTTATGGTAAAATTTGAATGCTGCTTGATAGATTGAAGCACCAACACTAACATCAATCTACTCAATGAACTGTCTTGTTGTAAACTAAGTAATGCTGTTGTTGCATACACAATCCCAGAAAAACAATCATCAAACAAAGGATGCAAACTGTCACTCAGTGGCTAGTACAGGAAGCCAGATGGGCACCAAGGAAAGGAAATGAGTTAGGTGAAGGTCAAATAATTGACTGACAGCTGAAATAACTGCTCTGAAGTATCTTCTGCTTTGAAGAGATAGGACTTTCAGATGAGGAGGCTTAGGTATGAAGAACATAAGCGTTTCACTGAAGGAAAAGACTCAGAAGGCAATGGACTCAATGAATGCTAAAAACTATAATCTTATTTTGATGAGGGAAGAAAGCATAGGCAAGTACAAGAGAGTATTTATGATGAAGTACTGGTGCTGATAACATAGGCATAATAAGATGTCAAAAAGAAAAAGATACTGAAATGTGAGACTTGAGAAGAGGTAGAGATAATTAAATGAGAGTGAGAGAATGCAAGGAAAAACACAGGATGCAGGAAGATGTTCAAGCACTTCAAGGGAAAGACTGAGTAGGCAGTCAAAGCTGAAGGGGTTATGAAGCAGAGGGTTCATTTCAAAGGTCCTAAGGATGAGTAAGGCCTGAGACAATGATTTGAGTATGCCATGCTCTAGCCAGGTTTTGAATACAGGAGCTGATTCAAAAAGTGATGAAATTTAAATGTCCTTCTTCAAGTGCCTATGTGATGAGGGCATAGTGCAATGAGAGTGAAGGTGCATTGCTGAGGATTTCTGAGAGAATGTCCTTGAACTACACATGGGTGAAAACATTTCTCCAAAGCATATGTCTGAGGTGTTTGTTCAAAGTTGGGCTTGCTGGTCAGGAATGTGCAAGACTGAGGGAAAGCACGAGTAGAATGCTGCTGATGACGATGATGTCAAATATCTTCAAGAGATGAGATTTTAATGTGTCATATGACACAAATGACCTTGAATGAAAAACTATGCTACAGATGGAAATAATTGAAAGGCTGAATACTATATGACTACACCACGGGTTGGGCCAGACAACTTTTGGTCGGTGCGCTGGATGGTTGTCCAGTCAGTTTTCTGTGTCCCTGCAAAGACCATCCAATGGATGGCACTCTGAAAACCTTGAATTGGATGTTTTTGGGCAGGGCAAACCTCAAAAAATCACAAACTCTTTGGGCTTGCATCTGTGTGATGCACAACTAAAGCTCTTATAAAGTTGACTATATCAGATTTAACAGTCTACCACCTAAATGGTATATAATTCCAGAGTTTTATGCAAAGCTAATTTTCTAACTTAATTTAACTTTTGACCCCCCAAGTCATGTGCATTTTGAAATGAATTTTTGACAATCAACTGCATTTTAGCCTGTTTTTTTCAACCATCAACTACCCCACCTGTAATGTGACGATTGGGCACTTTCAAAAGTATCCATTGGATACTCTTGATTGAGAGTGTCCAATGGATGGTTATTTTATACTGTCCAGAGGATGGTCTTGACCACCAGGCATCATTTGGATGGTTTCAGAAGCATCCAAGTGATGCTTGGGGCACCAGAGCATCCGCTGAATGCTTTCATAGCGCCCAAGGGACACTTTTTCTCAGAAACCAACCATCAGAAGTGCAGGTTTTCTAAAAACCTGCTTGTGAAGCATTTCATTTTGTAAACTAAACCAATTGCTAAAAATCAGATTTGTATGTACTCAATCTGTATTGATGAACAACTTTCCATGGAAATCTGCAGACCACACAGAATCATATTTAGACCCACAACTTCCATATTTTGCCAGGAAATCTAATTCAAGGGGTGAAAACTCTGTTCCTAGGGGCTAAAAAACCAACGGAAAGACAAACCATTTCTACATCCAACAGTTTTGGTTGAATTTTACTGACTGTTATTGTTGGTGAAGATTTTCTGTCTTCAAAGCCTAGCTGTTTCCTTAATCAATTATTCTGTGTATGATTGTCATTTCTTGTAGAGCCATTTATAAATTTTATCCCAAACCAGCAGCCATATGACCTGCTGCAAAGCTTAAAAACACATGTCTTAAAATTTTATATCTGAGCTGAACCAAACAAGATTTCTTTTCTAAAAAAACAAACATCCAAAAGCTCAATCATGAAATTCACCCATATAAAGGTTTCTAATCTTCTAGGCCTTTCAATTTTGACATGGTCAGTTGATGGACATGATAAGAAGAAAATTTACATACCTGCCTATGGTTTCATATTTTTTTTTCTGTTGAAAGTTCCTGCCCTAGGTGCAATGGTTTACATTCATTCTTCAAATCCCAAAATAAATATAAAACTCCATGACACATTTGCAAGTGGAAACTATCCCTAATTGGACATAGGGAAGATAGTATTCCACATTGAATGACCATCATTATGACGTTGCAGCATGGAAATATCAGAGAAACATTATAAAATTTCTAAAGGGAGGAGTAATATGAGATACACATCCAACAGCAAGTATATCTTTGCATGTGTTTCACCTGACAATTCATTTTATTCCTTCAGGTGATCCATGATACCTCATTCACAAAAAGTTCTCAACAAATGCTAGAATGACAGTACAATTGACTGAATTAGACCACCTTGATTTTCAGGAGGGACAATTTCATAGGGGTAATCTGGTTCCATACTAGCTTGCTGTGGATGTATCCTTCCTTGCTGGTTCTCTGTTTTTATTTCATGATATTTTGGCTGCTTAAACCACAATGAGTACACATCTCTCACTCTGGCTCACTTGGATTGTGTACCCGCTCGCCGGGAGGAACCGCTCTTGGCGAGCTGGCATGTAGACACTTGCCGGGAGGGGTTCCTCCCAATGGTGTGGCCTCTGCCTCTCTAGGCCAAGGGGGGCCGTTTTTTTTTCTTCTTTTTTTCGAGCAAAAAAATCCTGCTGGAAGGTTATCCTTCCAGCCGGCAATTGTTGACCAGTAAAAGGGCGGGTATCCGCGGATAACCGTCAGTGCCAGTGGTTACCCGCCAGCAGATGCGGACGTGGATGTGTGATTCCGCTGAAATCGTGAGCGGATATCCGGAGGGAAAGCGACCATCTCTAATATAGTTGCAGAGCATTCCAATGCAGTGGTTTTCTAACTTCTTTTACATGTTTTGTGATTGGGACTGAGCCACCAGGAGATGAAAGCATGAACATAGACAATAATTGGCAGCTACTGGAAGACCTCCTGTCACAATCTGCAGGTCCTCCAGAACCAATTTGAAGCATCAGAACCCAACCTCCTCTGCAAGAATTCACAGTTTTCAGGTCTAGATCGATTTCTGGCAGGGTCCCAGATTCAACAGGAATTGGTTTTACAGGCTCTGTAATGTAAAGCTATCTTTACAGGCTGTCAAGCTATCTTTACAGGCTGTCAAGCTAAATTTTCGTTGGGAAAACAGCTTTACAGCTTGGAAAATAGCTTTAGAGGGGGCTATAAAATCGAACGGAAGTCATCCACTACAACTTGGGGCAATCGCAGAGAAAGAAAGTCTGAGGTTGCATTGGGATGGACTTTTTCCGGTGGACTACTAGGGACTACCCCTAGCTTATGTACTTCTAGAATCCCAACAACAGGAGGCCAGAAGATCGTGCTTGCCTATGTTGAAACAAACCGAGGCCAATGTTATGCACGCGCAGTGTACCTAAAAGCGTTTTGTGTGTTTAAGTCCATAAATTTAGAGAAAGGCGACTCAAGCACACACACGCGCTACATAGCTTGCAGGTCGAGTTCATTGCTGCCGAGGATAAACGAGTTCTGCCCTTGAGTGTCCCAGCTGGAATTTCCTCTCGGTCCCATCATCATCCGCATCCCCTCAAGTGGTAAAAAACTGATCTTACAAGTTAGAATGCCGGAGAATACCACGACCAATCCCGAGAATCAGAACAAAGTTGATCTACCGCAGAAGCTGTCGGACCTACAGATTGAAGAGATTCTTAGTTGTACCAAGGTCGAAGCGACGAACCCATCCGACCAAGCCCATCTGAACGATATTGAACTGGGCGACCTGGATGAGAAAATCGCAGAGAAGTTGGACCAGATCAAGGCCAGGTCTGCCGCGCTGATGTCGAACCCCAACGGCGAGAGCTCCAGATGGCTGTTGAGACAAGAACCCGGTGCACCAAAGCGAAGATGGCTAGTCGCTCGGAATATTGAAAACGAGGTAGAGATCTCGGTAGATGTTAGTTTTGGTTTTTGGCTGTTGGAAACTGTCCTTCTGAATCATCCTTAGCTAAGCGTGACATGCTGACAAGTGCTTCATTCTTGTTCGCAAACCGCGCTCCTTGATGGTGGGGTACTTCGACGACGTTCGCAATCAATGATTCGTTTGGTTTGCCACACTACACCATGCCATGTGCCTTGGACGATGTGGGACTGGTTTGAAGCTGATGGGTCTGGAGGGCAAGCCGGAGCAAGGCTAACTGGAAGTATCTCTAGCACTTGCTTCTCATCAATTCCATAGGGCCCACTCCAGATTCCACGCACCGCCTCCCGTCCTACCTGGCGCACGTCTCTTTCACCTGATTCGATACTCGTCATATCTACTCAACATACAACTCATTCAAATCATCTTTAGCTAGAGAGAGAGTCACCCCATCTTGCAAAAAGTCCGACCACATTGATCACACCCCTCGTTTCCATGCCCCCAACTCACGCCCCTCGCTTGTATGCCACTGACGCTGCGTATCATTCTATAATTTCAACCACACTTGGGCGCATCACGAAGACGGGAAACTCACTCTCACTCATCGGGAAGCTTACGAAGAGTTGAGGTCTAAACCCCGTCGAGGTGAAGCTCTGGGTCGATAAACTGCCATCTAAAAGTCGCGGCTAGAGGACATACTCCATACATGCTTTTCATTACTGTCTAGTTCCATGCCGCTTCGAAGTGAAATATTTGAAATCTTTCAAGTCAATCTGTCCATAACCATTGCAATCTCACACATATTTTCGCTGTTTCAACCTTCAGTTTACTGGCATAAAAGTAGTCAAACAGTCCAACATGGAACATTTTATAGAATTTGTCATTCATATTTGTACTATATACATTTATTTTATCCCATTGTTCACCTGCGAATTGATGGCTTGTTATTTATCCAACCGTTACAAATGTGCCATCCTCATCTTTATGTTTTTGCTACTCATCATTGTTTCTAGAAAGCAACCCTTGGGGCACCATAGTAAGTTCTATTTGGTACCCATGATATGGAACTCAAAACGTCAGGTTACAATGCGTTTTTTCGCTCAATCGTTGGAAGCAGAGCCATATGGCAAGTGCATCTTGTGAGCAGGCGCACAATACGACCAGCTTATTTAGCCAAGCCGACAACTGCAAAAACCTCAATAAAAACTGTAGCTACAGAAATCTTTATTGTTACATGATGGGCACAAAGAATGCTTCAAGTGATCCCCCTAGGAACAAGATTGGTTGCAATCATGCCCAACTGCCATGCCGCTCATATACACACAATCACGTTCAGCTAATTAATCAACAGCCTCAATTGACTGGTGTCTAGTCAAGATTCTCAGCGGTGCCGGACAAATTTGTGGGTTGAACAATTACCATACTCTGCAGAAATTACGAAGGATAAAATGAGATTTGAAAGCGGCTACACATGAATACGAACAAACAGAGTGTTATGAAGAGCGAAAAGAGTCTGTGTTTAAGAAAGAGACATCAAAACAAAAAGAAGTGGAGGGCAAGAACCCATTCATGGAGACATGGTACCGTGAGCATGTCGTTGAGGACGATTTCGCCCATGCTTGTCGCCAATCGGAACAGAAAAAATCTATTGTTTCGCGTCTTTGGCCTGTTGGGAAAGTGAAAGTTGTCAGTAAGATGTGCAAGTGAATCAGAACAGGGAATCGAGAAAGATGTACCTCTTTCTTGCTCTTTGCAAACATACCCCCGTGTTGGCGGGGATATCCGTCAGCAGCCTTTGAATCAGTCAGACGGTCTCCCAAGCTCGAGTCAGTTCCATCTGGCGACAAGTAGGAGCGATCGGGCCCAACTCCGGTGTAATCGAGCGAAGGTACACCAGTCAGATCGGGTGAGACATCGTGGAAAAAGCTGGGCGGGTACATATCAGTAGGAGTGCCGGCGGTTGAATCGACACCATTTCCGTGATAACCATTGCTAAAGCGGCCAGAAGGGTAGCTGTCGGGGCGGTCAGATGGGTAACCGTAGCCGCCAATGCGCCCAGAGCCGTAGCCGTCAGTGCGGCCAGGACCATAGCCGTCAGTGCGGTCAGAGCCGTAGCCGCCAGTGCGGCCAGAACCGTAGCCGTCAGTACCGAAGGAAGGGTATTGGTCCCGGGTGGGCTGATAAGTTCGGTCTTGAGGTCCTGCAAAACTGTCGCTGCCGGGGAGGACAGCGTAGGGGGCAGGAGATGCTAAAGCGCCCTGTACGAGAGCAACAGCGACGGCAATGATGGACATGCAATACATCTTGAGCGAGTGTGTTTGAAGTGAGTGTGGATGTGTATGCTGCTGTTGGAAAGAAGGTGGAATGGATGAGAAATAAACGGAATAGGGGCGGCCTTGGTCACCTTTTAAGGGTTTCAGTAAAATCAATCCCCCTCTGCTCCAGCTGGACTTCAACCCAGAGATGATTGGGGTTCATGGCATGGAAGGACTCACTGCCGAGATTTCGGTCCAACTGGGGTGCAGGAAAATCATCGAAATCATCACACAAGTCTCCTGCGTTGTGCTCAGCCGGATACTATCAAGTGGGATGATCACTGCAAAGGCGAAGGTTGCTCAGTGAAATCTGAGATCCCCAGATTCAAATCGACTGGATCAAGCGGTAATTGCAAAACACCGCGAGATAATCCCTGCGATTGGGGGCACATGAGATTTAAACCCCCATGACCTATATAAAAAGTCTTGCCAACTGTTGCCGTCCAACTATCTAAGGATTTGCCTACACAGACACAAAGAGAAAAGAAAAGGAAACCCAAGCACAAGACTTGCGGAGTGCCAGTGGCTATACCAATGTAAATCATGACTTCATTTTGCGCTCAATCAGAAGCAAATCTGAATGAACGATTCCAGCTTTCAAGAATGACCCGTTTGGATTTATACACATTTCATGAGCACGATTTGATTTCTATGAACAGTTTTCATTGCCCATCTCTATAGAGAATTGTTGGCCGGGTCCTGTCAGCAGTTTGGCAGACGCGTTTCGTCCAGAGACTTGAGGAAGAGGGGGCGCAAGAGTGTCCGTTCCGTGCTGATAGCTATTTCGCGAGTGAGGCTGGCCAATGGCCATATTCTTCATGTAGAAGAAAGAAAACGAATGTGCAGCGATGTACGAAAGCTCCGAGGGGCCCGATCACAACCCGAGCTGTCTACCGGGGGTGGCGGCTGTTTATCCGGACAGGTCCCAAAAAGGGGAAGGCTGTGTCCCTTTCAATAAACTCTATAAATCATAGGACTATCCTCATCATGGCCGGCAACACGATCAATGCGACGACTGCCAGCGAAGACCTCCAAAAGGACAAGGAAGCCAACCAAGTGCGGTTCGAGGAGGACTTGGAAGTTGAGCACCAGTGTTCCCTTGTGTTTAATTCTGAACTCAAGAATGCGACCCTGACAGGATAATTTCGGGGTGCTTCTTCAGTTCGTCCAGTCACTCGCAAATCCCCATTTCGTACAAGAATTAACGTTGAATGGAACACTTCGCTCGGAGACCATGATCAAGTTGAGTCCCTGAAGTCCCCAGTTACTCTCTTTTCTTTGTCCCTCAATGCATATTTCTATGGCTCAACTTTGTACACTCTTTCAGTACTTGGATACCTCAGTACTTTCATCACCCTGATTATGCCAGATCGTCGCTACCAACGCTTGAAATCCTCGATCTGCTGACAGCTCGAGCAGTTCCGAACGATGATGAAACAAGAGCATGCCCGACTTCTGGCCGAAATATTCATCCAGAACTGGATCTCACTCAGCGGTCGCTTGAATAAGATCGGACCGACGGTAGTCAAAGAAGAGACCCCAGGAGGAGCGACTGTCGAAGTGAACGGCTTGGGACCCAAGGTCCAAACACAAGCTGAAAGCCTGAATGGCAACTCGCCATAGTCATAGATGGTCTTGCTTATACATAGGGCGCATAGTTGATAAATTGAGTAAAATTGACATTTGTCCAGTCGTCATGTATTTGGAAACAGGAGATCGTCATAGCACAAGTGGAGAGGGATGGTAGACACGCCATGGACACGTTTGACTTCATTGCAATGTGGCTTTTAGTTACAAAGTGAAAGACAAGGAGACTGTGTTTACCATCTCGTGGGGACCCACGGTGACTCCTAGAGACCTTTAGAAAGAGCGAGGAAGAAGTTGTGGTCAGTTCAGATAGTTCTCTTGTAGTTGAGGAGCTGTAAGGATTGTGTTTATAAATCGAATGGTCAGGGACTACGCTATAGCGTATATATAAAGTTGTTGAGCGAGCCCAGGGATGTTTTCAGCGAGTGAACGCTTGACTGGTGCCAGTATATCATTCATCATTCCGATTCGAAAGAGGCAAAGGAAGAAAGAGGAGAGAATGATAAAGCCTCGGCACTTACCTGCTACATTTTTCCTGTTGTCGTGGTTGTGAACTTGGGAGGTGCCGGGCCCTCACCCCACCTGCCGCCCAGCTCGATTTTATACATGCCGAATGCGGCGGTTGGCTTGTGGGTCGGCTAGCCCCAAACGCAGCCTCGCAGCATAGTAGCTCTGTGCGGGGGAAGTCCTGCACAACGACACGTCGCGTCGCGGATAAGGCCTGCTGCCCTCTTATGAAAGGTCTCCTTTGAGAAGGCACTTGTATTATCTTCCTTTCAAAATTGGTTGTTATATGCGTCTATAACATCCCACCTTGTCTTCTTGCTTCACAACTTGCTACACAATCAGTTGTTTCTACCTGGCTCCAACTTCAAGTAGTATAACATGGTTGATTGCCATGCAGGGAAGGGAAAAATAGATTCACGTATTATTGAGCAAGGTACCATTTGAAACGTCAACAAGAAAGGATTTTCCATGTAATCAGCATTCTATGCAGCCCAACACAGTGCAGGGCTTCTTTAAATCTTCCAAGGAGACATCCAACCAATGTGACTCAGTTTTCAAAGTCTCTGCTCTGAAAACTGGGCTGATGTTTGCTGTGCATGGCTGGCAGTGAATGAGGCATTACATAAACAGGAAAGGCAATTACAAGTCATATTTTTTAAGCCATGGATGATCTGCCAGCCACTGTGGGGCTTAACAGACACAGTTCTGCTGGAATTTCTGCTGTTGCTCACCACTCACTGCTCTTGAAAGGCCTCTCTGGAGTCCGCAGTCAGATCCTGGGCAGGTCATGCCCACAACTCCCAAGCTGACAGACAGTTTTAGTCTGCCAACTCCCAAAATCCAGAGAAAACAGAAAAAAACAATAATAAATTCTTCAAACCCAACTCCCAATTATCCCATTTAGGGAATTTGGAAGGACAAATACCAGGACTATCCCAGGAACAGGTTCAGAGACGGTCCTTTCAATGTCCCCCAATATTCGGGAGTCTTTGGCTAAGAAAAGAGGGTTTTCTTTCCAACCCCTAATAATATTCTTCAGGCTCAACAGTCTGGCTTTAGTTTCATGATAATGATATTCTTCAGGTCCAACATTCTGGATTTAGTTAGTTCAAAAATTTCTAAATCAGGATTCTTTATGATGTATGACTTAATTGGATAGATTACTCTGCAGAGGAGCTGCTATTGAGGTTGAATTTAAACCAATTTGAGGTCAACCATTGACTGATATTAATAAATAAATTTGTCTTGTGCCACAAGACAAATTTATTTATGCAAGAACTATATGAATGAAACTTAGCTGATTTGTGATATTAAATGTCAACTGTTAGAGCCTACCAGTCACACAAGTTTTCCTTGCAGTGCAGGATTTTATCTTGTGTAACACTATTTTTAATTTTCACTGTAATGTATGTTAAACTCTGAACAGTTTCAGCAGAAAAACTTTGAAAATCTGACTGATTGCAGAACCCTGTAAGTTAGCAATCAACCCCAAAAAACAAATTTCTCTCCTCTGCTATCATTTTTTCCTAGACTTTTGGGGGTGTAAAGTTCATTCACTGTTACTTCACCATAGTCTAGGAGCTTTTTCATGTTACCAATTAAACCAACCACCAGTTTGCTTATCTCTCAGGCAACACACTTTCAATACTAGTCATCTTTGAATATTTCAGTCTGTAAATGAATAGACTAAAAGCATGTATTTCATAAGTACCAGCTGAGAAATACAACAAGTAGAAAGAAGAAAATAGTCACCTAAAAGCAGTAGATGGCTAAATAAATAGGACAACAATATATCTCGATATGACAAAGAGAGAAAGATAGAAGAGAAAACTAATAAAAGAAAGTGGATCAATATCAGAACACTCAATGAGAAAAAGATCAGCAAGTACCTACCACAATTGAGGATAGAGAAAGAAAGGAAGTCGGCAGAGTTGTCAAATAGAAGGGATCAATTTGATACAGAGATCAAAGAGGATGACTGACGAGCGCAGGAGAAGGTCATTTGATATTGAGATCAAAGGGATGATTGATGATGAGAGTTGCAATATAATGTTTGTCTTTATAGAAATAGGACAAGTGATGATTTGGGATAAGGATGACGCGGTCAATTAAGGAGATTGACTGTGGATGAATTATTCAGAAAGGAGTCCTGAGGAGAGAGGAAGGTTTGACGAAAGAGGAGGGATGATAAAGGAAAGTTGGAATACGCAATGGCGATGTTGGTGGAGAGCAAGAGGGTTCAAGTGCAATGATGTCATTGCATGAGCTTGATGAATTCTAGAGTTCAGGCCCAATGATGTCATGAATATTTCGGTCTTGGGTAATCAGGTGGTCTAGAGCCTATTAGCTGGGGCTCAGACCTCAACACAGTCCACATTAAGAACACATCTTATTAAGAAAAGTTTATGGAATTCTTGCATGAAACATTTGTTTGTTTCTACCAACCTGAATAAGTCAAAGACTTTATGAAAACTTCAAGATAATTGGGGTTAAGAATTAAAGCCAAAAAGATATATAGGTCAATGTGACAATAGGTGTTCATCCCCATCCCTATTCAATTTTCATCATAGATAAAACTGAGCTCACATAGAATCAGATTACTTTGAGCCTATCATATTATAAACTGGAAGGACATCAATCCCTGCCATGAGATAGCACAAAGGCTTTCATCAGTATTATATCAAACCCAACTTGGAGTTTACAAGAGAACTACATGAATATATGCTTTAACTCAATTTTGCAACTTTTCTCATCTCAGGCGGAGAACAAGATGGCCAATGGGTGCATAACAGCTGGTGGTTCCGGAGTTCCAAGAGGCCATAATGAGATGTTTCATGGCCTCGGATCGTGCGCATCTGTCTCTGGCGTAACATGATTTCAAGGGACGACGTTGGCTGTAAACGCGATAAGGTTACCTGTAGGCCAAGACATACTTTTGAACTGAATTGAAAAAAGGCAAGGAAGGCAAACTAACACCATCATCAAAATGATCGGAGAGCCAAGAGGCGACGATAATGCTTGTTTCACAACTAGTCTTGTTTCCTCCAGACTTGTGAATTTTACATCTCACTGCGACATTGCACAAGCGGTGCTGACATCTCTGTGCCTTCCCCTCGAAATACCTCAAATTTATTTTTATTCTTGGTTCTCCAGCTCGACGGGATCTGTTTGTAGGCCAGTATTGTCTGCGTCTGTCATTTCCTGCTAATCTTATTAGTTGGAGACTGACGCCCTTGGCAAAACTCGTCTGACCGTCAGCAGTGCTTCTTAACCGCGTAGTTTTCTGGAAATGTCTTGGAATCAGCCACTGAAGGATCTATCCAGTTTCGGCTTAATACCTGCCCTTTCACTCTCTCCTCTGAATCATTTATATTCATCGTCCACATCAATCTACTCTCACATCACAAAAAAAGCAAGCTTTCCCAAGCTCAAGAGCATCCTACAATTGAGAACTGCACGCAATGAATACCCGGTTCTTTGGCTTAATCTGCTACGGCCTGGCATTCAACCAAGTTTCTGGCTCGCCAGTTTTCATTTTACGTCCTTTTCCGACGAATCTGGCGATCTACTATCCGCTCCAATCTATCTTCGGGAGCGCATTCAAAGACTTTGGAGACCGCGTCGTGGCCAACGACGTCACCGAACTGGTTGATGACATGAACCCGACTCTCAATCTAGAAAAAGACGTCCATCATCCGATGTATGGAGGCTCGACTCCTGGAGGCTTCACTGCAGTCGACGAGGCTCTCAACGAAAGTGACCCGCAGGTTGCAGGACCTGCGCACGAGTCCCTGAAAAATCTACGACACGGTAGGTTCTGTATTGTGCTATTCTGAGAATGCGTAAGGCTTGGCTCCTGAGGTTGACATTAACATTGTCTTACCTGCTAAATCTATTCACGTCCACGTCTTTCTAGAAACGAAATCACAAGGGAAGGAAACAACAACCTAACTCAAAATCGGCTTTGAATTTCTGCGTCCCGTTTCCGCATCATAATTAAGGTTGACTTCTGCGAGTATCTCGCCCAACCACTGGCTTCAACGACTTGCTTCAACTGCAAACTACTCCCAAAAACAGATCCTTTTATTTCCAAAGCTAGCTCCTGTAAAACATATACACGAATGGATGTGATCCAGAAAGGCTCTTCAATCTTTTCCCCCTCTATCTCAGCCATCATTCTAGATCTAGAAAACGTCTCTCATCAAGAAATAAAATCGTATCCGCTTGAACCAGCTTTTGGTGCTAGGACATGTGTGTGAGTCGAGAGATTGCAACTTGGTTGATGTTTATGGTAGGGTGTTATTCCCCAACTCTTCAAGATCAAGAAACCTTCAGTGCGTCTTCAGCCTGATCAAAGTTATTTACGCTAGTCGTAGCACAACCCTTTCCGATCAATCTGCCCAGAAATTTTCCATGACCAGCTTCTACATATTCTGTCTGGCCTTGCAGACCAGAAAGAAGCCAGTGAGAAATCGATGCACATCTTTTCCATCTTCTAATGTCCGGCTTGCGAGACGTAGACTCGAAAATGAACAGGAGAAAACCTGTTTGAATTTTCTGAAAGTCTTGTGCCAAAAGAAAAAATCAACTGCCATCACAGACTTGAATGGTGCCCGCATAACGCGATAGAATCTGACAGTAAAAAACAATTCATTCGTCGTGGCAAGGGGTTCTAGCTCATCGGTAGAGCGCTCGCTTAGCATCTTGCCGAGTAAGACTGCGAGAGGTACAGGATTCGACTCCCTGGTACTCCATATTTTTATGTATGAATGATTTGGCAAAGAAGTGCATATTTTTTTTTCCTGAGTTGCAATCTTGATGAAAAAGAAGAGATATCGCACTGAATGATAGGGGAGGAGCAATCAGACCCAGCTAGTTGGGTTCAGCTCCTTGATTTTCAACACGATTAACAGTCGAAAGACTGCGCTTCCCTCTGCCCTCAACTTCCACAATAGCACATCCCCATTACCGTGCAAAACTACGCTCCACTGTTGACAATCATGCTGATCTCTTGCTGTTTGAGATAGGCATCCTTGATGTTGTCAACAGAAGAGCGATACACTCTGGATTTGATGTCAGAGGGAATGGCGATGTGGCAATGTGAAGGTTGAGATAGCTTGGCAGAGAGAAGCGTCGTCTTTCGACTGTTAATCGTGTTGAATATGGAGGAGTTCAACCCAGTTTGTAGCAGGGTCCGAAAAAGCGAGATGACAAGATTTGAAGCAGAGTACATCACATTCACAAGAGGAACTGGGGAAAGCTGCTTGGCACACAGAGAACCCGGTTTCAGTATAGTGTGTAGAGGAGTCTGGGTCACAGCAACTTGAAGAGGGAACACTGGGGGGCGAGCGGAGCAACCTTAAATTGAGTGAGTATGAGGTGGCCGGACTGTGGTCCCGGCAATCGCGATAATAATGGGTATACAATAAAAAATGGGAGAAGGGAACGATGTAAACTGATGTGAAACTCCAAGGAAACCCGCATAATAATGAGGGGGCTTATGTTGGACCCTCTTCTTATTAGGCAAATCATAATGATTGTTACCAGCCAAGCGGTAAATCAATCGAATGTCACGGTATGCTCCCTGATCAACCACATGTGTATAAGGTATTCGGTCGGAAAGGAAGATCGAATATTGATGTCCTAGCGACACATCAGAGTTGAGAATACGTTGGACGTCCCTATCTATTTTGCTTTAGATCGCTGACGACACAACCGTGTCAAACGAGTTGCTTCGAGTTAGGCGAACTGACTAGGTGCATTGGATTTCTTTAACAAAACATGATTCCAGAAGCTAAGAAACAGTTTGCGATCTTGACCAAATAACCAATCCATTTCAATTTTCAATCCAATTCTCTCTTCTGCAGGAGTAATTGTATCAGATGAAGAAGATGAGGGGTTGCGGGGTGAGATTGTTTTCTCGTCTTTTGCGCCGTGATCTTCTGGCCGGGGGGTTGGTTGGTATTGATTTACAGAGAGCTTTACTTTCAAGATGGGGTCTTTATCCAGACGTTCGTGGGAGCTAGGATCTGTTTCGAGAGTTCCCGAGGTTGCCTCGCTGATCTTCGTTTCCGGAGCTGCAAATTTTCGTTTTCGTCTTGCGTTCCGAGTCCAATTTTTCTCGAAGAGGGTCACTTCCCACATGTAAGTGGGTTCACATTGCAGCACCTCGAAACGACATTTTTCGATAAGCTCCAGGGTTTTGGTGATCTGATCGATGAGTGAATGCCTTTTGGAAACCACAAGAACATCCAAAGAGATATAATATTCCAAGTGGTTACTCAGCGGTAGGAGCTGGGAACTGCCTTTCAGGCGGGGACCAGGCGGCCCTAATGCTCTTGCGACATTCTAGATTTTGAAAATGGAAAGTAATTAATTCATCAGCGTCCGCCTTTTCCTCCCAATTTCATAAGTATAATTGTGGTATATACATCTGGAAGGCGGTAGTATTGCCATGACCAGGCGATGACCCATCGTCTGGTGCGGCCTTGAATGAGTTCACTGATAGCGTAATTATTTCCCTACTTTGCGGGAGGAAAAAAGTATGATTAATTTAACGAAGTAGATTAGGATAGTCGTGATGATGTGACCCAGCCAGAAAATGAACTTACCCCTAATGACTTAAAAAGCTGGACGACGGGCAATAAAGTGGTATATTTCCCACATAGGGAAGTAAACCATCTGCAAAAAAAAACATATTGAATTCCTTCAAACAAGAAACAAGACGTTGGAAAACAATTAGGGCTCAGAAAAACATACCTGGTTTGGCTTCCGATGATTAAACTATCTCTCATCATCTTTTCAATGAAGCCCACTTCACCTCCCGGATAAACCATTTCGACCTCCGAACCCGTACAAACTCCTTCAGGTGGAGCATCTTTCTTGGCCCTCAAGGCGTCTATTTCGTCTTGAGAGCTATAAAAAGGTGGATTACACATCGTGATAGAAATCATTTGGTCTGGTTCTTGAGATATTGATGCGATGGGTAGGATGGTGGGATCAGTAGATGAGGTCTTCTGAAGAGTGATCCTATTGACCAAATCGTTTTGGGTGACGTTTCGCATTGCTGAATCATACGAGGATTGATCTATTTCTGTAATGCGAGAGAAAAAAAAAAACATGACATGATCAGGAAGCGCCTGTTTTGATTGCAAGAAAGTTACGACAAGAAAATGGCTTGGGGTTTTGAGAAACGAACCTGTTGCGATCACTCGGACGTTCTTTAAAAGTTGAGTGAGTAGCAAGGGATAAATAGCTGATGATCCAGTTCCGCTGATGGAATCAAAGACGTTGGTCAATACGAGAAGATGAAAACGCTTGAAAGAAAGAAGATGGCGTACACATCAATCACCAGCACCCCGGCGCCTCCATCGGACAATTCAACACTAGCCTTCAAGACATCGATTAGCCATAAGCAGTAATCCAACCGACCTGGGATCTGGAGATCGCGATAACTTTGAGATTTTGAGTGACTGATGTCCCAAATTGATTGTGAGGACCTGAGAAGTTTGAAAAATGATTGCTTACTATGGGACATAACCGATCAGGCGGCAATGACAGCTTAAGCTTAAAATCGCTCAGTAGCAGTGCGCAAGTCAACTGCCTGGTAGGACAAGAATATTGGTGTCAGACTAGACTTCTCCTTCCGGCTGGATATTTAACGAGATATAGTTGCGAACCGAAGCTTTTCTGGATCCTTGAAAACCGTGTTCGAAGTCCGATCTGAGTCGTGCAAAAAACTCACTAGTAAGCTCGATCGTTTGATAGTTGGGTCCGATTTGATCAGTCGGTCAAAGTCCGGCGGCTGATGGGCGTAGAGGTTATCAGGATGCATCGTGGTGGGTTCTTCCCATGAAGCTCGCTTCCTGACCACTTGATAAAATACTTCGCAAGCTCACCAAACAGCATATTTTACATGCCTCGCACTGTCACCTCTTCAGCATTTCACCCAAGAAACACTCCAACACCATTCGGTTTACAGCACATCCTGTTTAAGAAGAAGCAAGGATACATACTGGAACCGGTGGCCCTCCCACCAGTCCAGTACATTTAGCTCAACGGTCAGAGCGTCTGCGTCTATGCGGGAAGGATGTTGGTTCGATTCCTACAGTGTACGGTTGGAGGGCCGTCGTCGCGGTCGCTACAGGTTCTGATTCCAGGAATGAGGCCAGAGGCCGCGCCGCCATCCAGCCCGGCGTCCACTGGCCCTGTCCCTGGCTCATAACCTGTGGGGACCTTGGGATAGGCTGTCCATCTTTTTTTCTGATGACTTGTGACATGCTCAATTCGGCCCAGTAAAGTCGATCTATCTATCAGTCTGGGATGATTTTGCAACTATAGGCGTTTGCTAGTTGGGGGCGTCACATGGGGCATAGCTGATGGCGGTAAGGAATTCGATTGGCAAGCTGAGGTGTGTGTACATCTTTTTGAATTTTCCCACATCTCGCATCATCATTTATTTGCCTTATATCTTTTCGCTGGTGCATACATAGTTCCTCGATTGATGAGTCTTGAAAACAAAGTCGGACATCGAAGAAGGAAAAAATTAGAGCGATCAGCTGAATCAATCAGATCGGGCTTTCAGAAGCCACTTGTTCAAAGGTACCGCAGGCGAAAAAATGGTGATTACATTTCCCTGCAGCTATCTAACCATGTGAAAAAGGAGAGAAAAAAAAGACACAAGGGACGCATTTATACATCGCCCTCAGAAAATAATATTTAGGTGATCGTTGAAAGGAAGGAAAGACGACAACAAGAAGGAGGATTGGTAGATGAGCATGAATGAGAAGTAAAATAGGAAGTTTTCAGACTAATCCTGATCACTTTGAAGTCGCCTTCGCGGCTTTGGAATCTTGGTGATCCGTCGGACTGGTTGCAGGTTTCTTCTTGCTGGGATCTACTTTGACATATCCATTTTCCAGCTCGGCTAATGTATCCTCGCCATTCTTGTTCTTAGCGGTTTCAAAAACTGAGCCTAATATACCTAAGTACAAAAAAAAATGAGTTGAACGATACAAAAAAAAAAAAAAAAAAACAAGTCAGCACGAGTACGTTTTGCTTGAAGAATATGTGTGATATGGAGGTTGAGTTTGACATACCCAAAGCGACTGCTCTTTTACGGATGACTTCTCTCGGAATGCCGGGCTCTTCCAAGATGCGATCACAGACCTCTCTAATAACACTCTCGACCTCCAGCTTAGCGCCCATAAAGAGAGCTCTGAGGCCTTTCTTGGCCGCCAATTCCTCGAGTTCTTTTTTCCGTTCCTCGGACAGACCGGGGCCGCCTTCGGCTTCAGCTTTAGCGAGCTCATCAAACACTGCTTTGACGTCGTAAGCCGCTCGGACGGCCCCCACGGTTTCAGATAGCACATGGGCCGTCGATTTGGCGCTGTGGAACCATCCCCCCACTAGGGCAACTCCTCCTCCCCATGCTCCCGTCGCAGTGGCCGTCAAACATCTCTTCGATTTCGCTAGGTATGTCGAGCCAACGGTCCTTAGCAATTCAGGCCCGAAGCTCTCTTCTGCTAGCGACTCCTTCTCGATCTCCCACATCATCTTGACGCTATCCATCACTTGTTGATCGAATTCTTCTTCGGCTTGTTCGGTATAAAGGTACAGTTTACTCTTGAGCTTCTCAGCCAATTTGGTCACTCGTGCATCTCGAACTCGTTTCCGCTCTTCTGCTTCCGCCTGTGCCACTGCATCTCGTTTGGCCTTCTGCTCGGGTGTAAGAGTCGGCTTGGTGGTCGCTTTGGGTGATGAGGAAGTAGCAGGTGGTTGTTGAGATGCTGAAACTAGCTGACTACCAGTATCGTTTTCTTGCTCCTCATCTTCGTTTGACTCCTTCTGCATTGCGGTCTTCATTTCTTGTCCCAGTGAAATAGTCCCAATGATGTCTTGAAATTTTTCACCGCCGAACAACCTGCACAGACCATCACAATGGAATCAGTTATCTGAATTCTAGAATTTATTGAGCAAATGGAATGGTCTGTTTGTTTTTTCTAGAAATCAAACTGACGTTGAGAATACTGCCTCAGGATCCACAAAGCCCCCGTCGTTTTCTTGTTGTTTCCCAAATTCGTTGTATTTTTTGCGAAGTTGAGGGTCAGATAGAGTGTTATACGCCACTGCAAGCTAGAGTCATTCCACGCAAGAAAATGAGGTCAAAAGAGTGCTGGACAGATCAAGAGGTCGATAAGAAGGAGTGGCTACGAGGGTGTGATATGAATACGCAACTGATTTGAACTTTTCACCGGCGTCTGGATCATCGGGATTTTTATCTGGATGCATCTTGAGGGCCATTCTTCGATAAGCAGCCTTGATCTCGAGTGCTGTGGCTTTGGGAGTGAGTCCAAGGATATCATAGTATTCGGTCTCCAATGGCCGTTCGTCAGAGCCGATCCGTCTTGCAGTCTTTTTGGTCGAAGGTTTGGTAGAACTGGTGGTTGTACCAGCAGATGAATTGGGCAAAAAGGTCTTGGAGCATGAATGGCATTGAATGAGGTATGAATCCTTCGATGAATTATGGGATGACGGTGGCGGTAGATACTCGAGGTGGGATTTGCAATGGGCACACGTTATTGCGACTGGTTTTTTAATTTTGTGATTGCAAGAGTATCAAGGGAACATGAGGAAGTAATCAGCAAGTAGTTCGATCATCTGAAATCAGATTTAATCAAGGGGCAGGACTCACTCACCATACGCTTCCCGGGGTCGGGATGGAATAATGGTAGGACTCATCGGGTTGAGTTGAGCTTAGGAGGCGATTGTTGTCTTGCAGATTATCGGTTCGGATGTAATGTGTGCGGTGTTTGATAAATAAATTGGTTGTTGATGGCAAAGGAGGGGGGAATATTTGACCCACTCTTGCGAAATTTACGAAATAGGCAAACACCAGGTTTCACACCCCTGACACCGTCTGTGACAGCTCAACCATCGCTCGCAGATTCCTGTCATCTGGCTGGAAACCACCCGAGCTTAACTAAGCCTCTCATGATGGGAGCCGAGTGTCGAGTGGGCAGGCCTGGGCGGCAGCCCAGTCTCACCCCAGAGAGGCTTTCACTCAAAGCTTGTATGAGACTGGCGTGATTTTGAGGCCTGTTTTTGTATTGCCACCTCTGGCTTCCATGTCATTATTGTCAAAATTCCATTGTAGCCTTTTTCTTGCTTTTCTGTAATTTTTGAATATTTGCATTTCCATTCCAGTTTTTTTTTTCAAAAAAAAAGGAAATTCTCATTTTGCAGGCTCAAAAAATGCTTGGAGTGAGATTGCACTTGAGCCTCTGCCAGATTTGGAAATCAAAGTTCAAAATCATGAACTTCATTGCATATTTTCTACCAGAACCAAAGAGGTTTTTGCAATGAAAAAAAAAAAAATACAGGAAATCTGGATAATGTACTAGACCTTTGATCTACCAGAACCATTTTTTTTGACTTATACAGTGCGCATCACCTCTTCTCAACTACCCCCAGGAGGGTGTTCCAAATTTTTCAAAATGGGAGTTGAATTTTTTTTGAATTTTTTCACTTTTTTTCAATGCCATTTTGTTTTTTTTCTTTGAATTTTGTTTTTTTTTGAGATTTTTGTCCATACAAATCAGCAGACAAGACACAATCAGAACAAAGCCATGTACAAAAACCAAAACGCTTGCAACAGCCAAAGCTCCAGCCAATTGAAATCATTGATGAGATCTAATTGTTGCATTCCAAGGGCTGCAATGATGGATGTTTCAATTATGACTGCAAGTTAGCCGGGCAACTGGCACTGAGTTTTCCTATTTTTTTCTCCTTCTTCCCTCAATATCATGTATTTAGATGGTCTATGTGCATAATACATACCATATAAATACATATTGCATACCCACTAGGCCATAGTATGGCCTTTTTCCATGGGTGTTCCAAATTTTGAATTTGAAAATTTCAAACTTTTTTGTCTTGCATGCTACAGAATCTTGCTTTATATTTTTGAATTCCATTACTTCTGTAGAGCTCAAATATGCATTGTTTACACATGTAGCATGGTTGGTGTGAACAAACATACAGATCAAAGTTCAAATTATTTTTTGCAGGTGCGGGGTAGTCGAGAAGAGGTGATGCGCACTGTAATGAATTAGGGGTAGGGCAAACAAGGTTGCCATCACCAAAACCCTGTGTCTGGCTCACACCAGCAAGCCTCCCACCAGGGGACTCAGTTAAGTTTGGAAATCACATGCATCTCAACTTATAACACAACATTCTCTGTCTGAGATTGATCAAGATGGATTGCTGCCTAGTCTCATGTATCCCCATGAGTGCATTTGATTTGAGCGCAGGTGGCCAGAGTATAGAGCTCAAAAAGTGTACTTGATGGAGGGTATGGATGGGTGGGCAGTGAAGAGAAATGGTGCAAGAAAAAAATCTTCACCCGTAGGTGAATCCATTCTGACTACATGTGTCATCCTTGTGCAGGGGCCATGCTAATCTTCTCTGTATCGTTCCAATTTTAACGTATGCACCTCCGAAGAGGGCGAAAGGAGGGACGAATTGGGGGTATTTATACGCCCAGTGGGTCCATCTGGGTTCGAATCCGAGTCTCGTCACATCTCCACTTGACGGCTGTCCGCCCGGTGGACGACAGCCTCTGTACGTCGCCGGTCCATCCATTCCCGATCGTCGATGCTTCCCCCAACAGATCAAACTCTTCACCGCATTGCTGCATCAACTGGTACTCTCATATTACAATCAACCATACAAAACCCATAGGCGCACACTCTCTCTCCGGATCACCCTCGATCTCATCCATCCTTCGAAATGGCCACTTTTGTTAATTGGTTGAAGAGTCCAGCCGGCCGACAATATTTCTTCAGTTGAGTCCAAAAAAAGTCGCTTTGGATTAGGATTCCAATCTACTTCTTTTGGCTTGCCCTTTTTTGGTTTAAAAAATTGTTTCTGTCAAGGTTTTGACTGTCAAAATACTGATGATTGACATTCATTTGGTTATCTCTAGGCACACATTTGTAAGTTCAACAAACCCCTAAAAAAACCAAGAGTTTTGAGTAGTCACGAACGGTCGTCATACCCAAGGAAACCACTCACGGCAGACCAAAGAGAGTGATCGGGATTATGTTTTTTTGATTGTTATATTGCATCTGAACGACTCGAACGATGGACCAAACAACAGCTGGGGGCCGGTTGCTAATTGGGGACTTCCGTTGGCTGCACTGACGGACTTGAGCAAGGATCCTGAGCTGATTTCCGGGCCCATGTACGACGTCTATTCTTCAGTAGTCTCTAATCCAGCTCAACCCGATCAAGCTGATGTCTCTCCGATTCCTACATCCTTTCCAGGACTACTGCTCTAGGCGCTTATTCGATCTGTTTCATGCGCTTCGCATGGAGAGTCCAGCCTCGAAATTATCTGCTGTTTGCTTGCGTACGTTGTTCTTTTATGTTCTATCTGCTTAGCTTTGGATTGACGGGTGTCAAACGTTCTCGTTCATGCCTTATTTGTCCGGGGTTTTTTTTTCAGCATGCTGTCAATTTCTCTTTGCAGTCCGTTCAAGGAGGTAGATTCATCAAACACCAAATGTCAGTGATCGGCTTGACATCCGCTTTCTCCCATAACTATACCGTTTTCCTACTGATGTAACCTCTGATTTTTCTTGGCAATGTCGCGACTTCCCACGTTTTGCAATTCGATCACAGGGAGGAAAATCGGAATCCGAAGGCCGAAACGAAAAAACTTGCAAGCTCTTAAACCAAAATGAATCCTGAGATTAACTGCAACCCATACATTTGTGAACCTGCCGACACTGAAAAGAAACATAAATTGAACTATATACAGATTCGGGAAATAAGCATCCTTTGTTCGCGAGCAGAGCATCATGAATGCTGTGGGACAATTTTTTTGGGCTGATATCCAGGTATATCCTTCACGCGTGTTTTGGGCAAGCCGTGTTAAATCATCATGCACTATCATTGCAAGTCGCAAGAATACCCAACTTATCCAGCCAGCTTCGGCAATGATTGATAGAAGAATTGAAACATGATCCATCGAAGAACTAGCGTATAAGCTGATCCTTCAAATTATTACGGTGTTATTCACTTATCCATGGCTTCCTTGCCTTGTAAAACTAAGATCTCCACTCCTTGGCTGGGATGGGCTTCACATAGCTATGTGATCATCACAGCAATTAATTTTTCCAGCTGATGATCATATGAATTTCCATCTGACTACAATTATCTTTACACAAACGTATACACATTTTTTGATCAAATTTGATTTCCTGTATCCATTTCTTTCCTGCTGACTCTGCTGTCTGTTCCAGGAAAACGATGGTTCCGTCATCATCCGTCCATGTATAACTATTTGGAAGGGTCTATTACATCTGAGGTGACATCATTATTGCCGAGTCAGTATCCAACCGTGAACGGTACCTCTGATATCCGCATCACCGGCATCTGCAGGAAAGGCAAGACCAGCGTTCTTATCCTCGATGATGCGGGTACAAATCCACCCCCTTTGACGAGCGATGACAAAGAATTCTTCATCTGCCGTAACACACCAGGGTCTGTGATGAGAGTAAAAGACCAGGAGAGAGGGAGTCGGACGATCGGTGCCGGGGGATGCTGAGTTGAGACTGAGCTCGCATGTTGTCAGGAGTGATTGGTGTTCAGAGTGATTGAAAACTAAATCCGAGAGCAGTATCAAATCGAAACCCGGGCTGGTGGATGAAGCTGCGGCGGCAGGACATGAAGCCCCGACGTCGGACGAGATTGTGCGGTCTTGCTGCGAGATTCCTTCGGCAAGCTTGGCTCCCCATTTGAGTCCCTAGGCGAAGATTTGGCGAAGGGTTGTCAGTTAGAACCACTTTCCGCTGGACAATCCAGCGAACTACGTAGGGATGACTGGGCGGGTTCAAGGAAGGAGAAAAAAGGGCCCTACTTTAACTATCAGCCTATCTCTTTTCGACGCTGGTAAATTCTGATCAGCATTCCATTCCAGATTTCTTATCACATCCGGGTCTGGGGAAGTCTGTAGTAACAACCTATCGATTCCAACATAACATGATAGCCGAACAATCAAAAAAAGTCAATGAATATAAAAAGGGAGACATAAATACATAAGAATTTTTTTTTTTTTTTTGAAAATACTCAGACCAAACTGGCACCGGCTAGTACGCAAGTTAACCCGGGTAATCCGCCTCCAGCTCCCAGTTCAAGAACACGAGTGCACACGTTATCGGGGAATAATTGCTTGGAATGCTGGTGGATGTAGCGGGATAAAACGATCGAGGCAGGATATAAGACATGACCTGATGGAACAAGAGAGGGAAAAAAACAAGCATCAAGGGCTGTTAGCAGACCATACTCAGCTTAGGAGTTTGTTTTGTGAAGTGAATCAAACTGCACCCCATAGCGGATGAGCGCCGACCAGTCTGATTTTCAACGAGCTTCCGTCGGAGGAAGTGTGTTCGATGATCGTCGGCTCGGGAGACGCCGGGCGGAAAGAAGTGGGTTCCTATAAGCCATCCAAAAAACACCGGGGGGACATCATCATATATTCAATTATTCGCTTCCGGTTGCTACTCAGTAGCTCAGCGAGGGGCCCGAAACTCACTCACCTGAAAAAGATCGTTTGGGAAAGCCAGGTCGGTCTCCTCTGTATCGGCTGGATCTTCGTTTCCTGGCGCTTGGTTTTCCATCTCAATCGGCTGGCTGCCCGGCTCGGTGTTCTGGCCCGGTCCAGCTGGACGAGGGCGAGCTGCCCGGGAGGTTTTTTACAAGCATTTTGCATAAATATTTTTGGCCGGGGCATCCAAATTGCATATTGCGGCTTACCTCCGGCTAATTTCTTCCTGGCAAGTACTCCAACATCCAGGTTTCCACTTCTTCAAGCTGGTTTTAAGTCTCTGAATCGCAATGGTCTAATTATTCTTGAGTATGTTTATTGACGCCTACCATGATAAGATGGCATCCAACCTATTCTCAGAGCGGGTGAAGGGTATTCAGCAGTACTCGGACAAAGTTGACCTGGCTACTTGAATCTCTTGCCAGTCCCATGGTGTGTTACCTTCAGAAGATTATTAAAGATTATTATTGCATCATCATTTCAGGATATGAACCATGGTATTTGACTCTGGAGTTTGATGTGCCTCCATCTTTCATATCCATCCCATTCCTCTGCATAGTCTGTGGGTGACTGTGGCAGCAATTGGTTATTTCCTTTTGGTTTTCTGCTTCGACGTTATTCCTCTCCAATAAAGCTAACTTGATGGCCCATTGCCGGATGCAGGCTGTGTAAAACTCCAGCGCAGACTAACTGTATGGCTCGTTGCTCGTGGATCAAAGATGAAAAGGAAAAAAAAAAGAATTGGTGCAAAACTTGCAGAAATAGAATTGTCAACTGGTGCCTCTTCATGTCTCGGCAACCGGCACCAGGGCTCAATCACTTATTTTGACACCCAATAAAAAGAGTAAGAGTAGCGAGAGTCAGTTTCGATCCGACGACCTCTGGGTGACTATAGATGTGACGATCAACATCCTGTATGAGCCCAGCGCGCTACCAGCTGCACACAACGCGCAATCGGCGCACGAAATCAAACTTTCTTGGCGCGCAAGAATTCAGCACACATGGAAATTTTCATGTGCCAGGTTTCGTTGGCTGTTTTTTTCAATTTCGTTGGCTATTTTTTTTATTGTTTTCGTTGGCTTTTTTTTTCTTTGGCTAATTTTTTTTTCGCTGGCTGCTTTATTTTTCTTGGGCTGGTTTCGTTTTCGTTGGCTGCTTTTTTTTTCGTTGGCTGATTTTTTTTTTCGTTGGCTGATTTTTTTTTCGTTGGCCGATTTTTTTTTCGTTGGCTGATTACAGACGACCCACACTTTGGCCAGAGGCACTTGTACTCACCAGTTGGACTTGCAGGGTCAACACACACACACACCACATCAAGAAACAAATCAACGCAACCGAAGGAGAAAAAGAAAAGGAAAAAACGCTTTGTTCGCTCAAGTCAAGCAAGCATCCGAAAAATTTCAGTCCGTGTGGCTGTTCACCGTCGATCATGTTTGGACTCCTTATCTACAGGACATTCGCTCTTCTTGGAAACCATCTCAGTACGTTTTCATTTGATTCAGAATAATACAGACAAAAAAAGTAAGAATAGACAAATATAGTCAATGTTCTCAACAAAAAGTGACTTCTGCTGACTTTCATTTCATGCGCTTCATTTTCCAGGATCTATATGGGCAGGAATGCTGTCATGAGGTTAGGATTACGTTCAAAAGAGGAAGATGAACGCAAGCCTGGGCTAGGCACAACCGGCAAGGTAGAATCAAAAAATTCCCTCAGTTGAAGATAACTAGACCTCAGAAGAACCTTCATTGAACCATTGATCTTTCTTCCTTCCGTTTAGCTATTGGAAGGTGATACCGGTTTATTGCTCATGAACATCCCAGTTTAGACAAGTAGTTTCAGTTCTCCACATGAACGAAATCAGCTCAAAGATAATATCATTAGTCTCTTGATACCTTGAACGCGATATTTGATGTAGATAGTCAAGCTGATTACTATTCCTCTATTGACGTTGGGGTCCTGCAGGATTCACAGACAGATTGGTTCAAAGGGTATGGATTCCTCCACTTCCACCCGGCATCGATCAGGACTCGGGATCTCACAACCAACAGTCCAGCTGGCAAGTTTTGCCGACTCGGCTTATCATCATCAGCCACAAAACCTGGTCTTCAACTCTGGCGATCGTTCTACTAGCAGTCTTACACCAAGCAAGCTTGCTCCGAATGAGAATCCCACCTGGATCAAATGTGTTGTGGAATTCTCTCAATCTAATGCCAGTTGAGTTTCGATTAGGATGTTTATTTTAGGATGACCAAACGGATCATTCGAGCTAACATCTTTGTCAACCGGTCTCAGATTCGACCGGCATCCAATCTCGGCCGATGCAGCAAGCACATCAACATAAGCTAACCCCGGAACAATTTGTTCTATTTAATAGGCTTGAAACATACACTTGGGGGCAGTGTGACAGCTGTTTCCAGATAGTGTATCATCCTCAAACTTAACTTGATTTATATCAGGGGATTTTTTTTCAAACTTGATTACAGTGTGACTGCAGTTTTTCTGTATAGAATTATCTGAGCCTCATACTTCTAGATAGCAAGATTTATTTTTCCTGGTGACATGTGATAAAGGACAAATGTTTCATCAGGGGCCAACCACCCCTGTCAGTGACATGTGTTTTTTACTCACACATCAGTGAAACATTTACCAACAGTTTCCCAGTACACCATCATCTCAAACTCAACTTTCTTCACATAATTGTATTTTTTTACAGTGACTTGAGGGGAAATTCCCAAGCTGTCATTTCTGACTACCAACCCCAAAATTTGTATTGACCTCAAAAATCAGGGCCTTGTTTTGCAATTGAGACTGTGTGACAGGAGAAATCCTTGAAACATACACTTGGGGCAGTGTGACAGCTGTTTGCGGGTAGACTATCATCCTCAAACTTAACTTGATTTACATCAGGGATTTTTTTTTCAAACTTGATTACAGCGTGACTGCAGTTTTTCTGTGTAGAATCATCTGAACCTCATACTTCCAGATAGCGAGATTTATTTTTCCAGGTGACATGTGATAAAGGACAAATATTTCATCAGGGGCCAAAATCCCTGACAGTGACATGTATATTTCTCTCATACATCAGTGGAAATTTTACCAACATTTTCTGGGGCAATTCCCAAGCTGTCATTTGTGACCGCCAACCCCTGACATTTGTATTTAACTCAAAATGCAGGGTCATGTTTTGCCATTGAGGCTGTATGGTAGGATAAATCCTTGAAACATACACTTGGGGGCAGTGTGACAGCTGTTTCCTAGTAGTACATCATCTTGAACTTGACTTTATTTACCTCAGTGCATGTTTTTCAGTGTGACATGAGGGCAATGTCTTGAAGATTTCAAGTACCAGATCACTCAAGAGTGTTTCACTCATACAGTTAGAAGGTTTGATTGATACAATGTTCTAAACATTTTACATAGCAACTCCTATACAAACACAGCCACTTGCATTTTGTTTCATGCTTGTCCAAAGAAAAAAAAATCTGTATGATGTGTACCTTGCTGTATCATGTATCACTTGATGAACTTCCCCACCCAGAATCAACCATTTCTATCTATTTAAGGCCCCCCCTCTCTGGTCTTAACCTCCTCAACATTCCACTAACATTTAACAAACTTCTTCAAGAGAATCAATTTATCTACCAAATAGTTAGAATTCCTTATTTTACTGCACACATTAACCAATCGGAATTTATTAACAAAATTTCCAACATGAATCCTAATCAATATTGTGAGCCTGAGGGCTCAAATCTATCCCACCGCCAAAAAAAAAATATTCGTCTGTTTAATAAATTTAAAAATAAAGACCAAGCATTCCTTACAATAGATGAGCCATACGTCTTATGCCTAAGTGAAACCCAGAAAAAACAAACTTTTTCAATCTCAATAGATCTGTTTTCAAAATCTCATCATGTGATTGTCACTGATGAGAAATCAGAAAACCTACTATGCCTGATTAAATTCCATCCTTTGACTTCAGATAACCATCCGACCAATGAAACCACTCTCAGATTAAGTAGAATGATCAAGGATCTTTATCATCTGAGTAACAATAGAAGACACCAACCAAATAAATTTTGGAGACATGGCAGAATGGCGGGGATTGGTTTCCGAGGAGGATATGACCGTAACAAATCTGCAGGTAAGTCTTTCCCAATTTCCCAATTCTCCACTGGCTATTTTCTGAATGTAGAATTTATTTTTCAGGAACATATGCCTGGCATTCAAATATAAGTGGAAGAGAGGCAGAAAATGATAATGTACTATGTACAAACCTTTCCTATCATAACCAAACATTATGTGAAAGGGTCAAGAACTTTTCCACCTCAGCTTATGAAGAGAATCAGAAAATAATAGAAAAATTTGGCCTTCCAAGCTGGTCAGTTGATGATTGGAATGCTGTCAATAGCACAGGATCTCTTTTCACCAATGTGATGGTTACATCTGAAGACTTCTATAATACCCCCCATGTGGACCCTGATTACAATCCACTAACTTATGGAATATTCAGTTATATTAGTAAAGGAAATGGTTTCCCTATCCTGCCCCCATCTCATATCAAAGGACATGCCTTCCGCTTCCCAAAATATGATTGCAACATTGATTTTGGAACAACTCCAGGTATACTAGAAGTTATGTGGCCCAGTAATCAACTTGAACATCATACAACACCCCCACCACCACAATTGATGAGCACAGAAAATTTCACCCACTTTGGGTGCTCATTCCAGATCAGCCAAAGTCTCATTACACGGGCTCAAAAGATGAACAATATGAATCCAGATCATAGGGAAGGCCGCACTGTTTCACATCAAGACAGAATTCAAAATTGGGAAAGGAAGAATGCAAGAAAATGATAATTATCATTCAAATTTTATTTCCTTCACCTTTTATAAGAATGCCAGTTCTCTGCTGTATCAACTCTCAGGAAAACCCAGCTGCTTTATGTTATTACTCTAGACAAGATACTGGATATAGTGTAATACTTGAGATGTGAAACCTTGCATTCTACATTCTTTTCTGAAGGAGCCAAATTTAAATTGTTCTTTGAATCTCATCTTAAAAGCTTCTGATTTATTTATACAGCATGATTCATACTTTTGCCTATACCATCCAACAGATATAATGTAGAATTGTTTTTGGTCTCTTGCCTATGATTAACAAGAAAGGAACTAAACATGATCCATTCATTTATTTTCAATTTATATAATCTTACCATGGTTGAGTTGTCTGGTGATCTCCTATTGCCTACATTTGGCTTGGGATGATTGGCTTTTACAGTATTTTGGAAATATTACATACCGTTACCAACACCATGAAAGTTCATCTAAATAAAGATGATTCAATGAATTTGGGGAATCATTGAGGTTCAATGAGATTTCATCCACATCTGGAAATTCTGAAATTGTCACCCAAACATAAGTTTTTGATGCTATTGAAGTGAAACTGATGGGTACGGTAATTATGATTACTATTGGCAAATCCCAAAGTGATCATTGTGTAGGAGTAGATCAGATTAAGCCGGCTTACCGGATTGTCACCCCAATATCCTAAGAACTTCAACCAGCCCAGCTTTTGGGGGTCTTGTTGCTGGACGGGGGTATCGGCCGTATGCGAGAAGCCGTTCTCATTCGAGAAGAAGAAAGACTTGTAGTTCATCTTAGGGTCCCAAAGGTGTCCCCGGTCGGTGACATTGTGCATCGCCAAGGGTAATCCGGGATAGTTTTGTTGACCTGCTTATGGGTACATCTGGAAAACCCGAGAATGAATCAAATACATAATTTGTGAGCCTGCAGGGGACACTTTAATCAAAACGCCGTTGGTTCACTTATGTACCCCGTGGGTGAGTACACTCTGGTCGTCCATTGATGCGCTCAAGCACTTTGTATTTGAAACGCCGAGTTATCGCGATCCTTGAATCTGATCATAGTGTTTTCCTGAAGGTACATATTTATATGTCGGTGAGCTTCTCTTTCTCATCTTGCCATTTGTCTTCAATGGAATGGTTACATATCTCATGAGGAGCAAAAAAAACACTCACCCAATCTGCAACATGACCCCCAAAACGATTCTTGTAGAAGTACATAGTTTCCACGATCATATGAATAAAAACTGTTCAGGAAATGATTATGGATGTTTATTAGCGCTGACAAGCTCATCTCAGCGCCTCATCTCCCTCATTCCGAGAAACGTGGCGGTCACCGCTTCCAAAAAAGTATTGTTTGGGTCTCTCTAGCCTCCGTACCGAATAAAGTTTGAACCGGCTCAAAGCAGCCCTCGCTTCTAAACTGCATCTCCCCTCGGGAGCCGCGCTAGATATCACCACCAGATCAACAGTTCCGTCATACCTTCGATTTCGAACCTCACCAGCATCCCCGATCATACAGTCCCCAGCATTTGTAAGCCTAGTTCCTCAGCCCCAGCAGATGAAGGCATAGTAGGTGTCTAGGGCGAAAATTGAGCCTTATTCGCAACTAACTGTCAATCAACCCTACATGTACCCTTTCTTCTGCCAGTCCCTACACAGTTCTCAGTAATCACAAAATCAGTTTCGTGGAAGTCAGCCCGGATAGGAATTCTCTAGTTTTAGGCGCAACCCAGGTTTTGAAAATCTGTTATCGACGTTCCACAACGTTCCTTTTGGTATCAGAGGCTGCGACAAAGATACATACAAGAGCCTGAAAGGCCAGTATTTCTCAACCAGGTACAAAGCATACCTAATCAATTCACAAATTGAATATATTGCAATACATCCTCGAGGAGCCGGATGTAACCCCGCCAAAGGACATGTGGAAACTGACGAAGGATCTGCTGGAAGCCAGCGCTGACGGCCCCCAATGCATCGACCTGACCTTCACCCGGGGAGTGACCAGTGAACTAGTGGTCTACAAACCCTCGACCGAGCAACGCGAGGTGTTGAGCAAAGCCACCGACGTACTGGACATCTTCCTCGCACTCAAATCGCTCGCTCGAGCCCACGGGATCGGCCGGATTGACATCGTAGAAAACAGATTCATTGGTGTCAAGAGTCGTGGCTGCTACGAGACCCCCGCTGGTACGATCCTTCGTCGGGCGCACATGGACCTCGAAGGGCTAACTTTGGACGGCAAAGTCCGAGCGTTGCGAGACTCATTCGTGACCGCTGAGCTAAGCAAGCTCCTCTACAACGGATATTGGTTCAGCCCCGAGCGGGAGTTCGTCCAAAGCGCACTCGAGGCTAGTCAGAAAAACGTTAACGGTCGTGTCCGACTATCAATTTACAAGGGTAACGTTATCGTCGATGGCCGTGCTTCCAACGAAGGCTTATACGACGCTAGGGAAAGCAGCATGGATGAAATGGGTGGTTTCGAACCCACAGATACCAGCGGCTTCATCAAAATGTCAGCTGCTCAATCACATTCTTCTTCTTTTTCAATCGCCACCCCAAGCTCATGCATGTCTTTTTTACTTTCAAAATTGTCTAGTGAGTCGATCCGATTGCGAAAATGGGGTGCTCAACGTGAGGCTCAAGGCAAGGGAGTTACCGCCGGTGCGTTTTCACTTCTCTGTCAAGACTTGACTTACAAACTGACTGGCCTTGATTCAATTCCTACTTTCCAGATCAAGTTTACATGAAGCATTGAGACTTGTCTTTCCCAGATGATCTGTTAGCTGATTGCGGCTAAAATTGCGACTCAGTTACCAAGATATCCACCTACTTACCCATAGCTTTCTTCTTGGTCATTTCATCTTAGAAAACTTAACCCTCCATTTTAGTATGATACCTTGTCGCCCCTCCTGTTTTTTTGTTGTGTGCCGTTTTTGTTTTTTGCTACCAAGTTCATTCTAGCACTAGCAAAACTAACAAATAGATTCATAATTGATGCTAATATACTCCGGTGAATGGAATGTGCAAGTGACAAAAGAGGGCTGATGACGTTTGCCGTCTTCTGGCCCCAAACATACTGGGATCAGTCATGTGTTTTCCAAACAATGCGTCTCAATCAACCAAATCTTCGTTTGGTCTCATCTACCTTTTTCTTTTTTTAATCCACCTTTAATATGAGGGCTAATGGAGCTACAAGATCTGAAGTTGAGGGAAATGGATTTGCCTAAGATTTTTATTGTTCCCCACAACAATGCAGGGATGAACGAAAGTTTTTTTAAGTCTGTTTCTGACATACTCATCAAGCCAAATTTACTGGTGGTAACTGTAATGTATCCAATCTCAGTCTGACCAGGAAACAATAGAGATTTTTATTCGGAAGCTTTTCCCAGTGGATGATCTTCACCTTCTTCCAAGTCAAGTGTTTCAGAACTGTCTGATCGACGATTGGCTCCCGGCCGTGCTTTTGGAAGATTATCTAATCGACGTGCTATCTACAAAAAGAGGAAGTTATTGAATGAGATTTCAATGTGAAGAGTGTCATGAGAGTCGAACCAAACAATCCAGAGAGGATTTGGACTTTGGGGACTCACCGCAACCATCACAGAAAAGCAGATCCCAAATGCTCCCAACGAGTTGCCCGCAGTGGTCGAGAAGACTTTCTCGACAGCCATTCCCTTCGAGTAGCATTGCACAAGTAATGAGTTCCGATCTCCTTATGATTGAGATCAGCGGCGGCTAGATTCATCAAGTCGTGCAAGCGGAACGGCCGGACCTCCCCGATACCCATGACTGAGATCTGAAAGCCCGAGGAGATCTCCGTGGCTGCCTCGCAGCGGTAGATGACTCCTGATGTACTCTTGCCGTGTAATCGCGATTGCTTGTTCAGAAACTTTAATGATATGAATGTTCTTATCAAACCAACAGCAAACGCGTCATCTATGTCAGTTTCTTTTTTTTTCTGAACGGATCCCCTTCCGGGTACCAACTTTGAAAACAAGGTTGGTCAACTCACCGGTACTTGTCGGACTTCCCTCTTTTTGCAAGTAAGAAATGTGAAGATGTAAGTGAGTTACACGGAATAAGGAGAACGGAAGAGACACTCACTGGGTGATCACATTGAAAATGATCAAGCCGCTAAAAACCAGTACCTGTGACACACGAGATGGGTAAAAGTTACAACGCATATATAAAAAACCGGTGATAGTTTCTGAAGCTCACAGAGGCAAGAAGGACTGGCAAGCGGATCAGAAAGACGGTCAGTGTTAATAAGTGTATCCTTTGGGGAAGGATGGAGTTGCAACAAAAACGGGCTCAACTGGTTACAGGCAACCTACGGTTCCTGTAGGTCTTCATCAGCGGATATTCGTCGAGGCAAAGCATGCTTGGAAGTTTTCCGATGGCCATGATGTACCTAAGATGTCAACAAATGTTTGATGGTGATTGATAATACAGAAAAGACCGATGGAAACCAGCGAGAGTCTCAAAGAATCTAAGCAACACACCGGGCAGACTCTTATGAGGCGATTCAAATTGTAATTCAAATTTGGATTAAACTCCCACTCCCCAATAAAAAAAGGCTGTAAAAAATATAATAAAATTAAAGGATTCAAAAACGTCTAGGAGTATCTCCGATGAGAATTGAACCCATGAGGGGAGTGAATGGTATGTATCTTCCTTAAACCAACAAGTTTTTAAAAAGTGGTATGTATTCGCTAGTATAGTGTACCATGCCATGCTGATCACCATCTTGGCTAGAGTCTGCTTCGTGCATGGGAATCTGGAGAGGTGATTGGTACATCCCTGTCCGATGACTGGGATATGTTTAACTTTTTTCCTTTTTGCCAACCATCAACGATAGTTTGTAAGCTGGACGTGCTTAGGACAGAGTGGCTTCCTTCTTGGCCGTGTACATCTCTCCCCCGAGGAAAGCCATTGTAGTGCTTTAGCCTAGCTGGCTTCCAGGAAGAAGGGTGAAACTTACCGGGGCAAGTGTCACTCTCCTCCCTTTTCAGACTTGGTCTACTGGACAGCTGGCTGCATTATCTCATGCATACTGCTCCTGAGGCACACTAGAGCCTCTTCTAGCATGCCATGTAGCTCACGAATCGTTTATCCGTTGCCGATTGATTCTGCAGAGACATCTGCTTTGTTTAGAGATGTATCAATCCTCCTACTGCCCTCGCACTGAGTAGCGGCTGCCGAAGCACTAGATTTCTTTGACTAATATTCAACCTTCATACTTCACTCTTGTCAGCCCACCATCAACTTCAAAAAATCTGAATACCCCTTTCAGTCATTCATCATGGAAGGAAACATTCAAAGTATCGTCCAGGCTGCCGTCGAAGCTGCTATGGCTCAGCAAAATCAAGTCATCCAACGACTTCAGGCAGAAAATGAAAGGCTTTCTCAACTAACACGAGGAGTCAGCAGTCTGAATGTTACTGGTGGCATCAAGAAAACCCCTAATACGAAACAGCCCCAAGCAGCCAGTCTTACGGGAAATTCTGGTGTAACAGCCAAGACTCCAGTGAAAAAAATCACTCAAGCTTCTACGCCTCAGAGTGCAACACCAAATAGGAGTAACCCGAACCGTATGATGATGACAGATGTTCCAGAGAGCTTTCTCAAGACTCGAGTGCGTGTCTGACTTGAACTCTCTTCTTTTCGCGTATTTTTTTCATTTGCTATACTAACTATTGACAACATTCTTGCTCAAGGACTGCATGTATACCCACATCCGAATCTTGTGGGGGCTACTGGAAGAGAATGCCATTCCACAAGCTCCAGACATGAATACCTTGCAAGAATTCCACCGTCGCTTTTCAGAAATCAATCAAATTAAGGATGCCGCCGAAAATACGAACTCCCCGAAGCTGATTTCAGAGGGCGAAATCACCACCCTGCGCACTATGAAGAGCGGACAGAAGATAATATCTAAAAAAATTGTACACGTCGAGGAATTTTTTTTCCTCTATACACGTGCAACTCTAGCCCGACTTGGTATCCGAACTTGGGCTCCTGATCTGGAAGATTCACCGGATTCTCTATACAATGAGGCATGTCGTGTAGCTGCCATCAAGAGCTTCCGCCAAGTTGCAAGCAATGGAGCTTATAAGTTTATGAACTGCAACATTCAATACGTCAATGACATTGATATCCTTATTCAAGCTTACAATCATTATGTATTCTTTGTTTCGAAGAACAAATACAACCGAGAGAAAAACAATCCAGGTGGCCTAAGACAGGAAGCTGAGAGGAAAAAAATCTCTCATGCCAGAGGACGTGTGAGTGGTTTGAATTTTGTAGTTGACCTCCTTGGCTACTCAGAGATACTGATATTCTTTTATTAAAGCTTCAATGTATCCGTGAAGACTTTGCTAGAGCTCATAATTTACCCAATCGATACAAAAGAATTATCGAAAGCTTGGACGCCCACAGCGATGATGAATACAACGACCAGCACAAATGCTACATAATAAAAAGTGTGGCATTTCGATCAGATAATGCAAATAAGTTTTTCCGTCGACTGGATGATGAAATAGCCAAAGAACGTGAAGGCCCACGTGATCAACGGCGCATCCGACGGGTTCCGGACACGCCTCAGCCATCCATATTCTCAAAAATCCCCAAGGGACTACCTTTAGATTTTTACGATCCTGAGTGGTTTAACAACCAGCTACCTGCTTGCAAGCGCAAAGCAGCTGACATCTGGTCTGTAGCATTTCTCCCCAACGCCGAGAAATCACTACTTGGGAAGGCAGACCCTTCCGAACGCTTAACAGACAAAAAATTCAACAGCAAATTCCTGCAAGAGTTCCAGAAACCCTATGACCTCTCACATGAGATAAACGACAACGACGATGATGAGGATGAAACAGATATTGATGAAGATGATAATAGTCATGATGGCGAGGTAGTTCTCTTGGGTGGCTCAGAAGATCAGTTAAATGAAAATGATCCACGATCTGAAAATATGGAAGTGGTCAATGGCAACACCAATGAACAAGTCAACGATCAAGAAGGTGGTTTCGATGAACGATATGAGGATTTGGTGGATGAAGAAAGAGAGGATGAAGCACGTGATCAACGCTTCCAGTCTCATATGATGATTGATGATTCCGGCTGGTGAGGGTACGCATCTCAGATGGTCTATTTCAATGCAATAGTGCTAAGCTAATCCAACTGACTGTGACTTGATAGGTATTAGGAAGCAGACATCTCTCATATTTCTGTTTTCTTCCCAATTTCAGATCGTGATCTCTATTTCTTCTTTCATTTCCAACCTACTCAAACTACAAAATTAAACTAAAAAAACATATCGTTTTTTCAAATCCTGAAATTTCATATCTTGCTTTTTAGCCATTTGTGTGCTCAGTAGAAGTTATCCGTTCTTTAAAAGAACAAAAAGTCTCAATTGTGTATAATTTTTGAATTCCAACTCACTTTCAATGAGCCTCATATAAAATTTTTGGAGCTTTTGAGAGCCAAGGAGAAATCATCGATGAACAGATTTCTGCAGATAAAGATCACTTGTGTCTTTTTGTTTTTAAATGTCGCAAATTTTCACAGATTCCCTGATTTCCAGTTCTTTGGAGTGCGAGCTCTCCCAGTTTCATTTTGATTGGTCCCGAAACCTGAACCACCATTTGATAATACCACCACCAGGGGAGACACACTAGCTGATGGGTATGCTCAAAAATTCCTTAGGACCTATCCGGAGCAAACGATGCAAGTAACACGACTTGATGAAGCACCCCGATTGATCTGAAGGCAAAATTCACATATCTCAGAGGAAGGGGACGTCAACAGTAGAAACACTGGCAGATATGACTGGCGTCGGGCTTACTGGCTAAATTTGAATTGCGATTTGTTGATTGTCCTGTCTGTCCAAAAGAATTCGGCGAATTGGTGGGACGTGTATCAAACGGCACACTACTTCATATGTCCCCAGCTCTGACCCGACCAGAAGAAAAAACCAGAACTGAAATTAAATCTAATGTTTGTTTTAAATCATCTAGGACCGAGAGCATGTGAGATTTTATCTGAAGCAATCAAAACTCCAACGATCTCATTGAAAGAACAACTCAAAAAAAAACTAAATGAAGAGTCAGACCAACAAGGAGGAGGGCCGAGATCTGGAGTCGACAGGGATTGGGAAATTAGTCCAAGAGATCATGTCAGAGATGCCCAAAGAGGTCCAATAGATCCGAAAAGGTCAGCCCCAAATGATTGCTAAATTGGTCGGCGAAGGCATGCGTAGGTCGCAGAAATCTGTTGATCCTAGGCTGCTTTGGACAGTTTTTGAAGAGGAACTCTGGGCACATTCATCTGCTCAATCTTCTTGAAATTAGTCGATTACCATCAATTCTTTTGATGGATTTGAGCACTCTGAGGGTTTGAAAACTTGTACAAACCTGTTGTTTGAGACAGTGGTGCATCTTTTATGGGAGGGTAGCTGTGCCGAGACTCTGTTATCTGTCGCAGCCCTTCCTACTCTAGTTTAATTATTTTTTCTCCGGTTGGCACAATCAGCCAAATCCTTTCAATCCATTTCAGCAGTCACATACCTTCAGTCAATTCAAATCGACGAGATCAAGCTAAAAACATCACACACTTGGTCATGGAACTATGTCAATGCCCCAAATGCTCCAAGAACAAGATGGTGGACGAAAATGAACAAGAAATATATGGAATGTGGGTCCGCCCAGCGACACGCAGAAAGCATTGGCATCCCAGATCCTCTCAGCCTGATAATGAATTGGCCTCAGCACTTCACGACAGTATGCAAGCAAGTAACCATCCTGCAAGCAATTTACCTGAAGACACGCGCCCAGATTTGTCCTCAGAAAATGCCAATTCAAAGCATTCTGCATTTGAGCTAACAAGTAGGTTATGTCTGTATATTTATCTGACCTTTGATTTACTAAATGAATTGTAATTTCACAGATATGGTCGTGTACTTTATTGCTTGGCTTTATCTGATTTGTAGTGTCAGCCAAGCTCAATGCCGTATCGTTCGGGACTTTATCTTATACATCATTGAAGTTGCTCAACAAACAGAAGATTCTGATCTCGAGCACAGTGTTCCTTTGGACATACGCACCATCACAAAGCGGCTCAAGCTCCTGCCTGAACTTGAACATTACATATGTTGTCCTGCGTGCTTTTCACTATACTTTTCTGAAGAGGCCCCTGAACAATGCACATATCGTAGAGCACCAACTGTTTCAATATGCAATGAAGAACTATTCAAATTTCGGATCATCAAGCCGACTTCAGTTAACTTCACCACTTACTTGGAGAAGTGCCGTAAGACATCTTCCCTTGTGCATCCTTGCTTGGGTTACTCAATACAAAGTTTCGAAAGTTGGCTCAGGTGGTTCTTGGATTTGGAAGAAATTGAAGACGAAATTGAATCCTGGGCCACTCACATCAGTTCCATCCCACCTGATCCAATCATTGACATTCTACAGTCACCAGCATTCAAGAGCTTCAGCCATAAATCAAAACAAGATAATTCGAAGAATGAGATACGCCTTGTTTTTTCCTTATACGTGGATTGGTTCAATCCATTTGGCAATAAACAAGCTGGTCGAAAAGCCTCCATGGGTGCAGTAGTTCTCACTTGTCTCAACTTACCACCATGGTTGCGCCACAAGACCAAATATGCTTTCATTGCTGCAATCCTTCCAGCACCTCATGAACCAAATGTAACAACAATATCACATCTCATGGCTCCTATTGTTGATCAGCTCATCAAACTGGACATTGGAACAAAAATAATAACCCAAAAATTCCCACATGGGCGAAAGGTTTCAATTCAACTTGGAATTTTAATCGGTGATGTTGTGGCAACCCACAAAGTTGCTGGCCATGCATCTCATTCAGCCACTCGGTTTTGTTCTTGGTGCAATGTTAGGAAGAATGAAATAGAGAATATGCAAATTGGACACATGCAAAACTCAAGGAATGCCCGAATGGCTGCATCTGCTTGGAAAGAATTGAAGACATTGGCATCAAAAAAAAAACATGTGAAGAAGAATGGGATCAGATGGTCTGAACTGAACCGGCTACCATATTGGGATCCAATCAAGAGTGTGTCGTTGGGGATCATGCACAACTGGCTGGAAGGGGTTCTCAAGCACCATTGGGATGAGAGGTGGGGGTATCATAAAAAGGCTCGTAAGGCTGAAGACAATGAAAGTTGTGATGATACCAATATTTCCGACAACTCAGAAGATCATAACAATAAAGAAAATCAATTTCAAGAAAGTGAATCAGCTGAGTGGCAAAAAAAAATGCTGAATCATATAAGGCTCAAAGTTGATGCGGTGATTGTTCCACAAGGAATTACTCGTGTTCCCTCAAACTTGGGTGAAGCAAGCCATGGAAAACTCAAAGCAAGCGAGTGGCATATGTTGTTTGCCATTTACTTACCATTGGCGCTACCTGATTTCCTCATGAATGATTCCGAACAAGAGTACTCTGAAAATCAACCATTACTTACTCTTCTAAACCTTTCAGCTCTTGTCAATTGTACAAATATTGTTACTCAGAAATCCGTATCCCAGCAAGATAGTCAAAAATTCCAGGAATCATATGAAGTGTACACAAAATCTTCAAAAATATTGTTCTCGAACATTCGGATCAATCCCAATCATCATTATGCATTACATATTCCTCAGCAGATGAACTGGACGGGGCCACCCATGGCAATTGCTGAGTTTTCTGGTGAGCGGATCAATGGAGTTTTACAGTCATTTGAAACAAATGGTCAATTAGGTAAGCTTTCATTTCAAGTCACGTGTCAATTATTTATACTGATAGGATTCAACAACAGGCCAGATTGAGGAGATTGTCATGCGAAAGTTTTGTCAAACCCAAAGAATGAAAGTGCAAGACCCATTTTCAGCCATTATCAAAGACAAAAATACTCAGAATCATTCAAAGCAACAGCCACGAAAAGGCATGATCAATCTGGTAGTTTACAATGCAGTTCTAGCTGAAGTTCAGAAAACTTTCCCAGAAATAAGGGACTATCGTGACACAACACCTCATCAGCCAAATTCAAAAGTCCTAACCCTCTGCGCAACTGATTTGGGGTCTTATAGATCCCCATCAGGGTTGTACTTTGGCAAGACAAGTCCTAATACATGTGTGAAATTTAACAAAGATGGTGTAGTAGGATATGGATGGGTTGTGCATGTTTACCAAGTAGAAGAAGCTGGTATTGGTGTGCATTGTTTTATAATACTGAAGAAAATGGAATGCGGATTGAAGATAGATGGGGTGAACCCATCAGCTACCTTTCTTGGATTTTTGAACGACATGCAACTGGTTCTAACAATCAATTCAACTCAACTTTCCGTGGTCAGACCTGAAGATATAACAAATGTTTGTGCCTACCGAAACTTGCCTGCTTGGACGTTTGGATACAGACGCCCAATGGTACTCATACGGCCCATCCAACATGATCCAAGAGTATCAGATCCAAAACTATTACCACCTTGATATGTTATTTTTTTTTCCTCATAGTATTATTCAAGCTTCTAAAAAGGCAACTGGCTGTTTCTCATAAATTTCTTGCAGCTTATTTTATGATCCACATATGAAATGAGAATCACCATGATTGTTAGTGCACTTACTGATAGTCAGTGTTGATAGAAATCATATTCTCGTGATCTAACCACGAAAGGAAGTCTGTCCGAGTCTAGTTTATCTTGGCCATTTTGTTTGTTTTTTTGCTATGTCAGACGATTTGAGACAGTTGATTTTATGTAGAAAGATGAGAGAGATATGGTCATGGATGTGTGGTGACATACCATCACCTGTTGAGCGACCGAGTATGGGATCCCTTTGGGATGATGGAAATGGTTGGCAGAGTCCAGCTGGGAAGCCACAGTTTCATCGGCATTTTTCACCAAGGCTTGCATTAGCAGGAAGGATGTGGATGCCCATTTCTGTTCATCCATGGCGTCTCCGTGATGCCTTTAGAAAAGTCAAAGTGAAAGTTGAGTTCGGTGTTGAGGTATGAGGAAGATAATATTGTGGGCATGTAATTTGGGAAAAAAAGTGATGTATGGGCTTACCATCTGCTTGGTTCATAGTCATAGCATCAGCGATCAACGATAATTTACTAGTTCCTTTAGGGCCTGAAAAAAGACAATACGAGCAAGAAAAAAAGGAATGCTGAGTGAAGCTTGTACACGAAGTCGAGGGTTGAAAGGAGTCAGTGATGAGCCAATAATGTCCAGCAAGTTGACCATGAATGATCTGGTCGATCAGCTCCTGCTCACGTGGAGCAATCCAAGTGATCTGATTGGCCTTCTCCTGTTCCTCTTCTTCTTTGGCCTCGGCCTTGTCCTGTGATCCCGCACCAAGACACAACTTGTAACTAGATAGCTCAGGTCTGTTGGGCACCCACTCGGACACCTTGTTCAAGAATAATAGATTGGAACCTTTTTTTTTTGTGATTGTTTTTAGATGGTGTCGTGAGAGACATGTTTTGATGAGGTTCGGTTGCATTTCAAGAACAATCGCGTCGGGTCTACTGACCCCCTTCCAATCCTTCATCCTTTGTTTGATTTGTCTTTCTTCAAGTTTTTGGTCTATTAAGATAGACACGGATATTACACCAGCAGTGCTGTATTTAAGTAAAGGAGTCTGATTGCTATGACAAGCTTTAGTTACTTGTTTATGTTCTTACTATAGTGGTGTGCACAGGACTACATGCCAAATATTGAAAAGTTCAGAGTATAATTTCTATAAAAACAAATCGTATCAACAGCTAGAAAAAAATCCCTATGGATTTGTCCAGGTAGCGAGATCAAAAACAAATCTTTCGAGTTTATCCAGCGATCAAATATTCTCAATAAAGCCGATGTGAATGGTGATTAATATTAAACCCTGCACAACACAAACCAAAAACAATATTGAAAGATTAGTATGAAGCTGTGGAGGGGGTGGGGCTGCTTGTGAGTGATCTACTAACTTCTCAATCTCTGGGTTGGTCATCGGTGCTGCTTGTTGGGGGCTGCTTGCTGTGTTTGGTAACAAATGAGAAATGATGCAGCTTGAGTAGAGTCTTTTTGATCAAGTACACAAAATGTCTGCTTGCAATGGTCATAACTTCAGAAGAAAAACTGTCGTGAGTGATATGGATGATTGTGTGAAGAATTTTGATGAGCTGACCTGGGTATGTAAATGGCTTCACTGAAATAGATTCGGTTGCATAATAACTTCCAGAGAGGGGCACATCCATGAGGAGTTTGGTGGGGGGATACTTTGCCGATAACTCAGATAGATCGATCGGAAACGCTCCAGGAAGCTGCTGGGTCTCCTGTAAGATAGCGGGAAAGTATGCTGGCATATCGAAGTCCTGGATAAAACGTATTTCAATATGATCATCTGGGGTCCGAGGGTCTTTGCCCGTGTTGGAATTGCCAAAGGTTTTGGAGGCAACAATGAAGTTCCATTGAGTTAAATGTTCATCGCCAGGATCTTGCAATGAATCGCTGAGGGATCCCTCATCCCTTTCTGTAATGGGGGGAACCAGAAAAAAGTTTGTTACCATGAGCCATTAATCACACGTATGGTGGGCAGGACTGGATGCTTACCTTCTTGGTTGTGCAACTCTCCTGCCACCGAAACCAATCCAACTGGGTCTGTGGGAATCGAGTTGGGATCACCAGCACTTGGGGTTGGAGCAGTTGAATCTGAAACCGGCTCTGGAAAAACATAACCACATTAATTTGTACATATAGCTATGTATATACATGTTAAAAAAATTGAGATTCTCACCTATAGTATCTGGATCAGTGTTGACCACAGGTGCCAAATGGGGAGTTGATCTACGACGAGGGCTAGTTCGAGTACCACCAGCTGTGGGTTGTAAAGTGCGGGTGTCAACAACTGGTTGCGTATGGTTGAGACGTAATCGTTCTTTTTGTTCATCCACAAGGTGTATCAACTGGGATTTGGAGAGTGAAGAGCGGAGGCGGATGGTGCTCTCGTTTTGATATAAGAAGTCTATGAGGGATTGCTTGCCAACCCGTGGTGCTCGAGGATCAAATGACTCGACATCCATGATGCAGGATCAAATTGTATCTAACATGGTGGGAGGTAATGTTGGGAAAGACCAAATTCAAAATCAACTAAAATCTATTCAAGTGGGAGGAGGACAGACTTCAGCGGTGGACAACTTACTCTGTAAGTAAAGGCCTTTATATCTAACGTTGTGGGAGGGCGTACTATTGGGAAGGCCAAATTAATAATCAAGCAAGAAAAGGAAAAGCTTCAGCGGTGGAACTCTTCAAGAAAATTATCCAGGCCCCTTGATTCTTTAGGCAGTGGATAGACAACGGGAGATAGCTTTACGGATGGAAAAGAGATGCTTTTAAATATTGTGATAAATATTTTTGTTTGTCTATGCAAGTCAACACACATCCATTCATCCAAACACACCGGCCGGGCATTTACTTTAGTAAATTTGGTAGCCATGTGTATGCGTCCAGAACCGGTGGCATCCAGCACTAGTCTCTGCAAGGCAGCCTCAGATAAACCGCTTGGAAAACTTGGATGTCTTCTGGTTAGTCCACCTAGCACCTTCTACAAAGGTCGAACTCAGGAGGATGTGGCCATTCAATACCAGTTTGGTTGTTTGGCTCCATTGCAACCACCGGTTGCTTCTGTATTGATGCAAGCTGAAAGAAGCTAATGGATGATGTACCACAGGCTTGAATTATTGCCCAATCTGTACAGATGACCACTCAACCCAGCTCAGCCAGGGGCCTCGGAACCAGACGTGGACAAGTTTTGGACCCTGTCAGCATTAATAACTCACCACTTCAAAAAAGAGAATTGTTGTAGCTCACTAATTTGTATCGTATAACTACAGCTCCAAGAATCATGATAAATACATAAGAAGACTAGTGGCTCATTTTGTTACACCATTGACTTGCAACGGTGCTAATCCTTTTCTGGTAAGCAGTCCTCTATGCGACAGATTCAAGTCTACTGTTACACCAAACACATTTATTGTTCCAGCATAGTATGATCTCAATCGGGAACTCAGCTTTTAACTTAGGACACACCTGATTGATTCACTTGAATGTCTCTATTCATCATACGTGAACCAAATATCAATGTTGAATCCATTTTTACTCATAGATAGCGTCTCAGACCTCAGTTATGTACACCGGATTGCACTTGTTTTTTTTTCAACAAATCAAGTGGTACGTGCACGAGTCACTTCTCACTTTTTGATCTGATTGTTTGACAAGCTCCAACCCGTACCAAGCACCCAAATTCTACATCTCACAGTATCCTAATTTTACCCATACCACAGCCTGTTACTATTCTCCAATCCAAAACTAAAACACCAAAATGTGTTCGTCAATAAACTACAAAGCAATTCAGGGAATCATTCTTGCAGGACCAATCGCCGAGTTAAATCCAGATGTAATCAGGCAACACTTTCCTCCACATATCATCCGTTTGATGGTTGATCAACTGCAAGAACAATTCTGCCCTTCCAAAACATTCAAACGCAAACGTGCAGAGCGAGTCGGCCAAAAAGTCCGGCATGTCCTCCTCGTTAAGGATAATGGTAAGATTTATTTGGATTGTTGTGATGTTTTCGTCACTCTCCTGAAATACAAATTTTGCTCATTGATTACATATAATCCACCTCACAGGTGACGTGATGGAAGGACTGGTTTTGTTAAATAAACAAGAGTATGTGGACTTGATTCAAGCTACCGAGAACGCGATGGAAAAATTGGGTGTAAAGAAACCAGGACAAGAGGGTATGTTTCACAGTAAAACATTTCCATTATTGCTTATGGGATGACTGAATGTTATTGTTTCTCACCGCTCAGACATGGCTGCAGAATCGGATGATGATCATGGTGTGCTATTGACGCAAGGCGAGCATGAAGCATTCATGGAGAAACTTTCAGCTGTTGGATATCGGCTTGGGGAATTAAATCAAAATCAGGTAGTACGCGTACAAACAAGCCTGACGTATTCTAGTGGGCGCCGTGAAAGGGTTACTTTTGGTGCTTACCAAGGTCCAGCTGGGTTGTTGATTGCTCACGACCAATTTTCAAAATTTTTTATCAATTCATGGTCTGGCTACTCTATGGCCAAATCTATCAACGAGACATCCACCAGTCTCATGGATAGCAACCAGTTACACAATCCAAAAGTGAGTTGCAGCTTATTTTTATTACGCGGTGATTGTTAGAGACTGACTTGATATCATTATCATTATATATTAAGGCCGCATTGGTGTTCAAAAACCGATCATACTGGGGCTCTTTTATATTCTTTCTTTTCTTCGGTCTCATATTCTTATTTTTATTTTGAACTTCTGAAATTTTTGCACGTCATTCCTTTGCTTTGGAAAAATGGCTAGTTTTGCTTAGGCACAGCAGCTTAAATGGCAGCCTGATGATACTTTGAATATTTGTTTCCTCGACCAATAACTAAATAGATCATTCAAATTTTCTCATGATTTTACACCTACTGCTCTCTTCTCACACAGCCAAGAAGCACGGCCAGCTTACAAACTATCAATGATGGTTGGCAAAAATAAAAAAATTCAACTCTATCCAAGTCATCGAACAGGGATGTACCAATCACTTCTCCAGATTCCCATGCTTGAAGCAGACTCTAGTCAAGACAGTGATCAGCATGGCATGTTACACTATACTAACGAATACATACCACTTTTTTAAAAACTGGCTGGTTCAAGGAAGATAAATACCTTTCACACTCCTCATGGGTTCAATTCCCATCGGAGATATTCTTAGACGGTTTTCAATCTTATAATTTCATTATATTTTTTCCACCCTTTTTTTATTGGGGAGTGGGACCTTAATCCAAATTTGAATTCCAGACACGTGTACATCCTCCTTTGATCAAACATCAAATCTCCTTGTCAGGACAGAAGCCTTTACCCGTGCACAAGGATCGGAGCGCTGATTCCGAATTCTGCTTTGCTGGAGAGATTTTCTTAACAAACATCGTTGGGAAAAAGAACTGATCTCAGGTTTTGGATGTGTCTCAGATCAAGTGTCATCTTCCTTCGCAAGGAATCTTCTGAAAGGCTCTGTATGGCTCGGCGGGTCACCCCAAACGACGTAACACATGGGGTCAGCTCCCATGATCCTATGGGGATCTTGAAAAAAAAGTTGATTTGGTTGATCCAAAACTGATTATCCATATTTTTCTTTTGATTTGAGGAGGAGATTTAACGTTTACCGAGTTGGGTTTTTTGGGTAAAGAGCGCAAATCTCGACCAAGAAAGGAGGAGAAAACGGAACAAATCAACAAGGAGGGACGGAAGAAGAACTCATCCCACTCGAACATTAGTACTGAAGAAAGGAAAACACCATTTCTCAAGCATTATCAAAATTGCCACCCCATCCATCGGGTATTGATCCATGTAAGATCAGCCAAGAAAATGGCCCTCCGAAATCTTTTAGTCCATCTACTCGTCATTCTGCTCGTGGCATCTTCCCGGTTCCCGTCTTGGGATTTGATGCCTCATTTCTCCTTGTAATCTCTTCGGATAGTCATATGAGGGCTGTTGTTTGAGATCCTGAGTCCTGATCGATGCCGGTTGGAAGTGGAGGAATCCATACCCTTTGAACCAATCTGTCTGTGAATCCTGCAGGACCCCAACGTCAATAGAGGAATAGTAATCAGCTTGACTATCTACATCAAATATCGCGTTCAAGGTATCAAGAGACTAATGATATTATCTTTGAGCTGATTTCGTTCATGTGGAGAACTGAAACTACTTGTCTAAACTGAGATGTTCATGAACAATAAACCGGTATCACCTTCCAATAGCTAAACGGAAGGAAGAAAGATCAATGGTTCAATGAAGGTTCTTTTGAGGTAAAGATCCGCATCCGACTGATGATGTTCGACTTGGGTACGCTCATGCAGAGCATGTACCAGGTCGGTTTTCTCCTTCAGAAACAAGCCATTAAACTTGACCGTGTTTTTAGCATCGTTCAAGTCATCCAAGGTTGTTCATGTGCCGCTAGTTGTCATTGCCAATCCAGGTTTTTCCGGGGCGTGCGGAGAGGACAAAAGGTCAGTGAGCTCAGAGAAAGAAAAACAAAAAAGAAGAAGAAACTCTTTATAGACGGGTTGAGTGGATTATATGTAACTTACGCTAAACAGTTCACTGCGTCTTGAGGCGGATGGCTGCTCGCAGTCTTCAGACAAAGGTTAGCCGCAGAGAATTTGAACTCGCTGGCATACTTGAACAAGCTCAAGTCTTGTTTGACGCCTGTCCAGTTGCAATTAGCACACCTGAGCTTGGCGTGGTTTTTGTGTGAGCCAGCAGGGTGGGCATCTCTTGAATTCTCCAAGCGATTCCGCGTGGACTCCTCTTGGCCGAACGCCGCCCCTGGATCATCCTGCCGAACACTGGTCGAAGTCGGTTTGTGCTGCGACTCGTGGGCCTTCGGGCCCGAGTATGACCAGCAAGAATCGGTCACCTTGACGGTGTTTGTCTGTTTATCCTTCACATAAAAGGCTGGAGCAAAGCGGGGGAAAATCAGGGATGTCCCCAGCGAATTAGCATGCAAACACGAGTTGGAGATGGTTAATAGAATGTGGAGAGAAGGAGAGGAGGGGGGGTGAAGTTGCTCACGAGATTCGAGAGTATCATCGCATTGGGGACAGATAAAAGTACGCAAGCTGGGTTGATTAATAAACCTGATGAGATTAAAATCGGTGTTTGTCAAGCTGGTCCACAGCTTTCTCGAATGTGATCCGGCGGGAGAATCGAAGCTTTTGGGCGAGAGCAATCCCAAGAGCACGCTCGGATTTCTGAGGTGCTTGTCGTCCTTGAAGCTAGGGCAACTGTGTGCAGGGTCGGATATTTGCTTGATCTTCCTCAGTAACTCGCCCGTCTCTTCTTCGCCAATCTGGCTGGCTGGTCCTAGCTTTTGGACGTTTGTCTTGGGGCAAAACAGGTCATATTCGGCTGCCTGTTGTAGGTAGATAATATTTTATGAGTTTTTCAAGCAGCTTGGAAAATGGTTTTTTTTTTTTTTTGAATCGACAAGAACTACGCACCGCCAATTCCAGAGGAAATCTTAAATGCTTCAAGATCGGATACAATCTCAAGTCATCCTCGTAGTAATTCCTGGAAGCAAGGGCGTATTTAGCATCAGTCAACCCGTGAAGAGTATGTTGTAAATAGAAAGAAGGCGGAAAAAAAAACGAGAACGTCCTAGGATGCCACACGAACAGGACATCAAGTGGCGGTAAGTAATCCAACGTGAGTTCGATCTCGTAGTCATCTTTCTTGAAGTTGGAGTTGGATTTTTGGTCGGGCCTCTTGAGCTTGTAGAGTGACTGAGGCAGATAATCTGCGATCCGTCCGAGCCAAAGCTCGAAGCGAAACAAGGCCAAATGATAGAAGCTAGCCTCTAACTCCTCATCCTCCTTCAGCCGCTTGTCTTGGTTTGGATCATCATCGGTGGTTAGGTGCCCAGTCTGATTATGGGTTTGGCGGTGGGCATGAGAGATAGTGTCGGAGTTGAAGGATAGAAGAGTGAGCCTGGAGAGGTTGAGGAGTAAGTTGAAGGAATTGATGAGGTTGAGATGGGTCTTGATCCGGAGGATCTTTGCAGCGTCTCTCTCCTTCAAATGCTCGACCAATGCGTTTCCGGCGCCCTTCTTGTGGGTGTCGACTTCGGCCGCGCCGCCAGCTTGGTTCTCCCTCCTCTGGCTGTTCATGATTGTGCGGCTCGCACTGAGTCGTTTCTTCTTGAGGGGGTTGGCCTTGGTCGGTTCAGGCTGTGCACTCGGCTTGATAGGAGGGTGATCCCGAGTATTGTCTCGCGTAGGTTTCAGTGGGGATGCTAATAGGGGGGATCCGACTTGGATAGATCTTCTCTTATTGGCAGGCTTGACAGCCATTTTGTTTTTATTTTTTATTTTTTATTTTCTGTAATTTGGTTAAATCTGCTGTGGAATCATTGAGAATCAGTACTTTTGTCAGAAGAATTGCGAGAACTTTTCTGATGATCATCGGCCTCCTTTTCGTGTTGGCTCTGATCAAACGGACACACAGCACCCACCGAGCAAGCCGAAGGCGATGCCGGGACGGAGGGGCTGACCACAGCTCTAGAATTGAACTACCCAAGACGCGTTCTTCGGTTCTTGGAATCGGGGGCTGCAAAGAGCAGACTGGGCAGAGTAGAGTAGATATGTAAGCAAGGAAGTTGTATAATCAATCAATTGGAAGTATATTTATTTCTTCATGTTTCCGCAGGTCGGCTGATTAGTTATCGCAAATCTAACGCACCACGAGGATATATGCGCCCTGATGACTTGGGGGTTTCAGCTTGTGGCTGCGAGATCACAGGATGAGTTCTGAGGGATATGTTTTTTGTTCTGCTAAGAAGAAAGAGTTACATATGTATAAGCTATCGATCAAGAATGAATTCCGGGATTTGTATGAGGAGTTGTCGAAGCAGCTCCAGGTGGATGGAGGGCAGGCTTAAGTAAGTAAGAAGCAGCTGGGACGACGAGCCAGCCAGATGGGTGTCGAATTTCAGGCTGCACTATCATCAAGCAGGCAGTGCACCCCTGATTGTGACTGAATGGA